ATGGTTTACAACCTGTATCACAATTATTTGTGGGTTCAGCAATAAAGGATATGATACTTACTTGTTTACTGGCATGGTGTCTACACGACACCGTTATTCCTCTCCTTCTACACTTGCTCCTTATCGTGTTAGATCCGCAGTCCGCACCCCATGCCCACCTTCGCTCATCCTCTGGGTTGGAGCTGCCAAACGTGTGGACCCGATAATCATATGCTTTATGCTTTATTGCTTCTAAGCAGTGGAGTGACTTTCCATCCACTCTGCGCTCCTCCCCAACGCAATCTCTTTTCGTGAATCTCGAAAACTCATGAAATTTGGCAGAAGCTTGATTTTCCGCATATGTACATGTACATGTACATGTCAAGAAGAGGTTGGTGCGACTTCGGCGATACTAGGGGAATTGTGTGTTGCTCCCTACGCGGGAGCTTGCGCTATTCCTGCCGACTTGAATTCTCACTCGACTGACTCACGACTGCCTTCCAGAGCACACGAGAAGTCCATCGAACCTTCTACTCGGTAAACCTGCAAGAAAGCACCACTCCTGCTCAATACACAGTGTTTCGGAGAATCCACCCCTCATCAGTTGAGCTCGAGTAGGCTGAGGAAGATTGTGCCTGAACTTGGGCACCAGGGATACAAACTTACAAAGACGCTCCGTTTCCAGGGCGACAAACACCTCGTGAACACCAGACGACAGCGTGAGTTAGTGTCGCTCCTGGACGGTGAGAACAGACGTCGATGACTCTCGGTCATTCACAACACTATTTCGTACTGTTGTGCCCAGCGCGGGCTTGCGACTAGCTGGTACCGTTTAGAGGTGACAGCAGATAGACAGACGGATACAGAGACAACGACGAGGCGACAAAGGTTGCACGAGCGCATAAACACACAATACATGTACAATCATATGATATAATCCAACACTGGTAAACCAGTATTAGATAAACCTTGTTTCGTGCTGTCAATCTAACAATTGCATGTACAATCATGCATAATGTTTACCGATATACACCCAACGACGGTGGTAGCGTAAGCACACGATAAGAGAGAGACTGAGACGAATGCCTCCTGCAATGTGGTCAGGGGTCAGCGGATAGATGTGGCACACTCCCCAGTTGTATCTGGTGCCTCGATTGGAAGCAATGAATTGATGGGGAACTTGCGCTTGAAGGTTTGTATGCTTTACGCTCAGAGGCAGTGGACAAGTGTAAAAGCTGAGCTGAAATGCCACTATTTGAGCATAGTACACACTTTCAGGAATACCGGTAATAAGCCGCCACCTACTTGTAGTGACATCGCTCGAGATGGGTAGATTAGGAGACCCGGGCGCTCCAAGTTCGGTCGTGGTGTTCTAATTCCCATCACCCATAACGTCATAAACTGCTGTTTTCATCTCAAAATATTTGATGAGGAGAGATACACTTAGTATGAATAATTTATTATAGCATGCAGACCAATGCTCAGGGAACTGCGATCAACTATACCACATAAGTGGGTTTTCGAAGTGCTGTTAGCCTGTTATGGGATTTTTGGGGTTTCGGCGGCAAATGTAGAAGGTGATTACTGCTAAGAATGGAAGCAGCCACTTTATTCTCCTATTACCGCCCAAGTACCAACATCTCAGTTCATATGTACATTGTAAGAGGGCGTGAGCCTAGCAGATGATCGTATATGACAGCGGTGCGAATAGCCGTCAGCGTCTGTATTTACAAGAGGTCTCGGCATCAGCGTTGCAACTAGGCATAGAAAAATTGGTGTGTGTGTGGGGGGGGGGGGGGGTGCACAAGAACAATTGCAAAACAAACAGAACCTAGAGAATACCACAAAATAATAACTTGGTGCGAAATAATGAGAAGAAAATAATGACGCCCAAAAGCGCTAAATACGAAATTAAGAAAAAGGGAAATCATAAACCACATAGCGCTAAAGCTGCACCAAATAATAATTGAAATTATAACTAAACCGGGTGGAAAACCAAGAAATCATAACAAACAAAACAATACGAACTTAGAAGTTGCGACTCGTGTGCTCCGGATGGCAGTCGTGAGTCAGTCAAGTGTCAAGTTCGGCAAGAAGCGTGTGTTCCTAGTTGGAACAATCAACTTCAAAACAAAACAAACTAATAATAAAAGGTAAAGGAAGCCCACTAAGGTGTAAAGGCATAGTGGTGGCCTGCGGAAGCGAAGGCTATAGCTTGTGTGTTTCTGAACATTCAAGTGATGCTAACGCGGATCCCGCGAATATTATAAAGGAAGCCCAATTATCATCAGCATAGCCGAACCAAGGAACATGACCCGTGCCACAGTCAAGAGTTCATCCGTAGAAGTCGGTAGCCATCAGCCAGTGTTGGTGCGTGAGGTACTTATGGACATCTTCTTTGAACGTGTGGAGCCGCTTCAAGCTGAGTGGAGCCCTTACAATTTCGCTTGGCAAGCTGTTCCATAGTCTCCAAGGCGAACATTTTAATGATAGTAGCCTACTGGCGGTCCTTGTGCGACTCTACCTCACGCAGCTTCATGAAGTGTCTGTCGCGCTGAAAACAGAGCGTCATTGTTGCACTGTAGTTCCTATCCCTAGTGAAGTTTGGGCTTGGGGAAAATTACAGTCATAAATGCGGTACCTGCTCCCGTGCGGGCCGTAGCATGCATTCGTCGAGTCAAGCTCAACTGATGAGGGGTGCGAACCACTGCGTATTGGTATTGATTAGGGAATTGTGCCTTCTTGCAGGGCTACGGAGTAGACGGGTCAACAGGTCATTACTTCTCGTGCGCTCCAGACGTTTGTCAAGTTATTTTCAAGTTTCTGTGAATTGCGAGCCCCAACGCTAGGATCACCCACATTCTTCAATACGGAAATCAACTCCGGCACAACCGAATTTGAGCACAGCGTTGAACAGAACTTTACTAAAAACATCACGAGCCAGCTAAGAGTGCACGCACGTGCAGAGGAAGTTACAAAGCCATGGCAGGCGGGTGGACATTCCTGGCATCTCCTCCCCACACTGTTTCCCGCGGTTTTCACAGCGCAGATGCTTTCTCTTCGAAACGACAAAAACAACCCACTTTTGGTGAACAAACCGCAATGTGAACTGGTACATACATACGCCAAAGTATCGTTTCGGTCCGTCGTAACGGAGGGATAAATAATCATGGTATTTGGCCTACATTTTGAGATGAAACCTGCTTGGAAGCCGTCAGTCTACCTGGCCTACACCGCATTAAAGCCTACACAAGTGTGGGAGGATTATTATTATTTATTATTATTCCACAATCACGATGACATAGTGCCAATAAGCATGTGATGCGGGCGATTTTAACCAGCCATGGTGGGGACAACTGAGAACAAGAAGGAGAAAAAAAAAGAGAAAACAAAACAAAACAAAAGAAGTACTATAGGAACCTGGAGAGAGCAGTATGAAGATTAGGCTAGCAATGGAAAACAACGAACTCAATTCAATTCGACTTAGGCGCGGGCAGAATGGAACAAAATGCAGCGAAGGTGTCACGAGACTTTACCTCCTGCGGAAGCCGAGACCAATGAGAATAGGACTTGAACAGAGGGGATTTTAAAAGGATCGATGATCTGGCAAGTGGGAAATGGAGAGAACATCTAGTACGCGAGCTATTATTGAACCAGCTTAAATGCGCAAGTGCATGAGGAGGAGCAAGTTGAAGCTTAATACGGTGAATGAATTTGCATGCCGAGTGGGGAAAGCGTTCTGAGAGAGGGGAAGAGGAAGCCAAAATGTATAGCGTCTGAGAGGAGGTCAGAGGGGGCATGCGAAATATTAATCGAAGTAATTTACGGTGGGTGACTTCTAACCGATGCATAAGAGCGGAGGATAGACCGGAGGACCAAACGAGAGAGCAGTAATCAAACAAAGGAAGAACATAAGAGTGATAAATTTGTATTCGACAACCATGGTGTAGATGGGAGATGTGAGGAGAAATGCAGCCTATCGCGCAGCAAACTCGCTTTTCAATATAGGTTACGTGCGAATCCCAGGACAAGTGTTCATCAAGAAATATACCAAGGTGTTTGTGATTTTTAACGATGTTGATAGCAATGGGATCATCAGGGAAAGTAAAAAGCCGAGTCGTAAAGAGGGTGAGGTCACTGGAGGGTCGTGGGGGGATACAAAGGATTGCCGTTTTCGACACATTGGGGCGGAGTTTCCACTTCGACATCCAGCGCACAACTTGATTAATGTGATACTGTAGCGAGTCGCAGGCTTGTAATAATCCTGGCTCGGTTATATGGAGCGCTGTATCGTCCGCGTAGAGTGAGGTATGATCCAAACCTGCCAAATCATTAACGTATACGATGAACAATAGAGGCCCCAAGATAGAGCCCTGGGGCACTCCAGAGTGGACTGTTAGAGGGGCGGACAGGGCATGTCCAATTCGGACACTCTGTCGACGTTCAGTGAGATAGCTGGTGAGCCACTGCAGACACGTCCCGGCCACGCCAAACGCTGCTAACTTATGGAGGAGACCCCTTGTCCAGACAGTGTCAAATGCTTTGCTCAGGTCGAAAAAAACAACATAGGAGGCTAAATTGCTTCTGATCCTTGCATTCATAGAGCTTCTGCACAAGCCTCAGCAACTGCCAGGCGGTGGATCTCGTGAAAGGAAACGAGAATGGTTTTACACCACATGTACATGTGCATGACTGCATGTACGTCATGCCGGGAGAAGCAAAGGACAGGACAGATTCTTCCACATTGCGAGCGTCGGCTGTAAAACTAAAAATCTAAAAGAAAAGCACAGAGAAAATGAGGCTGAACCTGATAGAAAAGCTGTTGTTTTGCTTTCTGAAACATACGGGATATCTGTCTTGGTCACAGGTGAAGAGGGGTTGATTCTTTCAAGTACTGTTGACTGTTGTAACAGCAAGAGTAGATCAAAAGATCTACAATGTAGTCTTGGTAACACAGGTAAGAGCTTCAACTACTACTACTAGTAATAGTACTAGTACAATGTAACTATGTTACTTACTTTCATGGTCTTTTGGTTTACGCTTTCGCTGATCCTTCAATGTTTCATTGAAATTTGAAGGCTTCAATCTGACCTTCAAAAGTAACAAGGAACGACGTCACCATGGTCACGTATGTACTTCATGTATGCTTGCCGGAGCCTGAAGTTGCCATGGTTACTTTCGACGGCCTGGCACGTGCACATGGACATGGTTATCATTATCATGCATGGTTATTTATGGTTATCATGGTTGTATTGCGTTGTATATTATTTTTCTCGATGCCAGCGGCATGACTCGCCTGATCTGAGTCCAGTTCGCGGCCTGTGCCAGTTCACATGGTTCACATCCCAGCAGTGACTGTGTTGGCGGGTCCGGTCCACGTCTGCACAGACTCAGTCAGCATGGTCAGTGCCCGGCCCTTACTTGACTCGCGCGATCGGATTTCATTGAGCAATGCAGCTGTAGTCTAGACAGTGTAGTGACTTGCGACTGAGAAGCGCGGTCAAATCAGGTGCCTTTTGAAAATGAATTGAAGAAGGAAAACTGCATCATGGATTCTTGCTTCATTCTCAGTTTTCTTTCGTGTCGAGGCACAAACGCATCTGATTGAGCAAGTTTGCGGTAAATCGTGAGAAGTAGCGGTTGCCAGTAGCCACTACCGACTACTGGCAACAATGGCAGCACGAAGCAGCGAGGGAGCTGTCTCTGGAATCAATCAAGCTGGAATTAGTCTTCAGAATATTGTCGCTATTGATCCCGACTCAATCGTGTCAGATCCGCGACAAGCCGAGACTCTCTTTATTGCTTTACAGCAGGTCAGTAACTTACTTACCGTCAGAACGTTGGCACATACATTATAGATAATTCACTGATACTAGCCCGTAAGTGGCAACTGTAAGTCTCTGTAAATAGCTCTGCCAAACAGCATCGCACGAACACCCTGACATCAGTTACTTGCACACTGTGATAACGAATGGAAATCGTTTCCTTGTCAGATACATGTGCAGTACATCCAATTGCACACACATACACACACACACACACCTTGGTCCTTGGTAACACTGCCATCAAATGGTCACATGTCCCCTGTGCAGGGGTCGACAGCACTGAGTTCAGCATTGGATCCAGAAACGCCGCGCTACTTCCTGGACAGGAAATTAGCACAGCTATGCAGGTCGAAACCACGGGATGACTTGCAGCAGCGACCGCAGCCGAGACAATGCGCTCTGCAGCAGGGCAGGGCAACCCGCTGTTTCTGGACCGAGTCTGCCGATGCCACAGCTGAGACCGATGCCACTTCAGCAGCCGAGTTGAAGAGACACTTATGCGAAGCTAGCCCGCCAGCACTCAAAAACCATCTCCCGCACGCATTACATAGTCGGCTGCCGGACTGCTCAGATATCGGTTTCCTCCTCTCGGCCAGGCACTTGTGGCGATTCTTGTATTTCTGGTGGGCGAAAGTACGCTGGCAGACATCGCAGAGCACAGAAGTGTCAAGCTGAGCCGATCGCGGTACTGGGTGAGCGGAATACGCACTGCGCCATTTCCCACGCTCCTGGGCGAGGTCGTACCATTCCGCGTGGTCGATGTTCATTGTGGAGAGGTCAGCTCTGACAGAGTCTCGCCACCGTTTCCGAGGACCACAAGCCGGCCTCAGCGGAAGGAGCGTACCAAACAGGAACTGGCGCGGAGTTCTATCGCCGTCCATCCTGGCTAGATGGCCTAGCCACTCCAAACGGCGGCGAAGAACACGTGTGGTAATATCCACCGGATCTCGACGATTCCAGGCCTCCAGAATGGTCTTCCTGTTGATGTGGAAGTCCCAGGTGTCTCTTCTACCGAGGGCTAAGATTGTGGAAATGCAGCGAAGATGGAAGGCGGACAGCGCCGCAAGCTCGCTTTTCAGTGGCACCCAGCACTCCACTCCGTAAAGGAGAAGAGAGGCCACACATGCATCATACACCATTCGCTTCGTTGCCAGTGAAAGATCGCCATCATCAAAGACAGATCGACGCAATGCTCCGAATGCCCTAGATGCTGACGCTATTCGGGACCGAGTGTCCACTGCGGTGCGGCCACCAGTATGGATGATGGAGCCTAGGTAGCGAAAGTCATGCACGTTCTCGACAATTTCCCCGCCAACCACCAATGGACGACGATCCTCCGGAGAAATGCCGAAGCCGACCGCCATTACTTTGGTTTTTGATAGGTTTATGGTGAGGCCGAAGCGAGTTGCGACGTCCATGAACCGGCTGAGTACAAGTGTGGCACCATGGTGAGTTGTAGCAATAAGTGCCGAATTGTCTGCGAATTGACAGTCACGATGGATGTTGATTGCGTCAGTCTTCTGGCGTTTGAAAAGGAGAGACGGTCCAGAGTTAGAGGAGACGGAAAGTCCAATCTCAGGTATGTCCGCAACCTCATGCTGCCACAGCTGGAATACTGCCCACATGAATATATTGAACAATACTGGGGCCATACAACAACCTTGTCGAAGGCCATTTTGCACCTCAATAGGCTCGGCCTTGATGCCCATAATCGACAGGTTTGCAGACATAGAGGCATGAAATGAGCTGATAATGGTAAGTTCTAACCAGCTTGTCAGGTACGCCCGCCTTCCGGAGAATTTCCCACATGCACTTACGGGTGACGGAATCATAGGCCTTCCGTAGATCAACAAAAACCATGAAACCAGAGCAGCGATGTTCATATAGTTTCTCATATATTTGTCTCACCGCGAAGATCATGTCCGCGCAAGATCTGCCTTTGCGGAATCCACACTGCATGTCTGGCAGGATGTCTTCTGCGAGCCGCTGCAATCTTGTCTGGATGAGGCCAGCAACAGCCTTACCCACCACCTCCAGAAGAGCAATGCCTCTCCAATTGTCACAGCTGGATAGATTTCCTTTTTTTGGAGAACGGAAATGTCTACACCACACAGCTATGCAGTGGCTTTTTCTGGCCAGTGAATCCCTACTTTTTGGTTTTTTCATTTTTTTCCACACACACATCACACCACATACTCCGGCATGCACTGGCTGTTGGTAACCACCCAGGAGAATGAAAGAACAGTCAGGAGAGTCTGAGAAGAAAGACGTGTGTGACCATAATCGTCGGGAATCGAACCCGCAACCTATCGATTGGAAATCGCTGCACATAACACTGCACCATATGGGACACACACACGCACACACACACACACACACACACACACGCACACACACACACACGCACACACACACACACACGCACACACACACACACACACACACACACACACACGTACCGGTCGTGGCGCTAATTCACATCTTTAGTCAGGGAAATGATATTCCTCATGTACATGCAGTTCACTGCACCAATGACATTATGTGCTGGGCTGCATTCAAAATGATCTACTCGAAGCATGTTAATATGCATGATGATACATTTTTATGTATAGTCTTAGTCACCATGAACGGATGTTTTTAGTCCAATGAGAAATCCACCCATCATTCATTGGAGGAAAGAGACATGGTGTCGCAAGCAAGAGTATAATCTTGTTGTGTGTGGCAGAAGGGCCATTTGAGGAACTGAGGGTGCAAATGAGTTTAGTCAGTGTTGATCAATGTTCCCTTTGTTGCTGTGTTTCTCTCTCAGGCCAGTGTTGGAGACATTGATGAAGGACCGCAGTCTCACAATGTGACCTATTGGAAGCACTTATTTGAAGTGACACAGGCGGTGTTGAAGGTAGGTCCGAGAACTCACATTGCCGACAACTTTATATGCACTCTCCAAGTAGAAATCGGGAAGAGAAAGTGAAGTCAAGAGTATTAGCTTTGCAAGAAATGTTCTTTGAAATAGAATCTTTAGCAGCCACCTTTCCAGCCTTCTTTGCATTGGTCAACACCCTTACACGTTCCCACCTAGGTCACCGCGTAACAAGACAAAATCTGTGGGATTGCCTTATTGAAATATCAAATACGACTACAAGGGCTCATGCACGAGACCGTGATTGATATCATGAATCATGCACGTCATCATGACCCTATATGCATGTGTTTGACTTCAGGTAAAAGGTGAAGATGCGTCGTTGGCACTAGAAGCACTAAGGATGCAAGAACAGTCGAGCCAAGGTACTATTGGTAACCTTCTTCCCGCCACTACCAGAAGATCTTTGTGGATTTCGTCACTCGTTACTTTTGATTGAAGCATGTACTGGTCTTAGAGGTTCTCGTGCCTCTTCCTTTGTTCACTATGCATTTGCTTATCAAGCAAAATGTTGACATAAACTAGGGTTGAAAGGATTGCCCCTGGTAGGTCACGTTTCAGCAGAGATGAGAGGGTTGGGACCCAGCAAGCAGCTGGTAGGTATTGGATACAACTAAGTCCCTGAATCCACAGCACGCGTTTTCGGCCATGGGTCCTAGTATTGCAAAGTAAATTTGTCTGAAAATCGACTGTAACGGCTGTATCTTTCAACCCCCTACTCTTTCTCTTCGTCGTGTTTGATTATTTTCAGACAACATTCAGCAACTGCAGCGGCAGCTACAGCGAAGCGGAGTGAGTACTGTGTACCTGAGTGCTCAGTCCACAGAGCAGCTGCTAGTTTTCGTCTTTGATGTGATCTTATTTGGGATATGCAGTAAATAGAAATGGAATTGGCTTACTGGAAATCCGAAGCAATCACTTTGGCATTCATGGTATGCAATATGGCCGTGTGTTACCTTTCCGTGGTAGTCAGTGTTGCCAGAGTATTCAGGTACACAGAGTGTATATTTAATGTATTCTCTGGCTATTGCTGCAGTATGAAAGAATGATTGTGACGATGCAGCTTGCCATGCGCTCATAACCTAGAGGTTAATCGGATGTGATACATGTACTAGAGTGAAGTAGTGCCGGTGCTAAATGCATGATGTAATGCGGCATTTCAGATGTGCCCAGTGCACGATTTCTTCTGTGCTCGGACGGTCATCTGCAAACTAGAAACGAGTTGCAATTGGTGCTTCTTTGTTTGTGTATGGGCATTCCCTGTAGGTTGACACTTTGTATCCATCTTTGAAGCTGTTGTGCTGAAGTGTGAAGTATGCACTGTGAAGTATGCACTGTGAAGTATGCACTGTGAAGTATGCACTGTGAAGTATGCAGCTAACCTCATGTTTTCTGCAGCTTACCTCATGTTTTCTGCAGCAGTTTTTAAGCTTCTGCCAACTAACTGTAACCTTCTGAAAATTCCATTCACAACAATGCAACTTTACATTTGTTTCCATGCGGTTTTGGTTGAATTCTACAGCAGAGAAGTGCTGGTAGAGGTGGCGCTAGTGATCCAGTACAAGAAGATTTGGCAGCATTGGAAAAGCGGAGCTCAGTGAGTGTGCCCAGTGTGAACTCGGATATTGCTTCTTTTGCAAACTAAATAATTTCGTCCATTCTGTTGCTGGCGATACCAGCCAACTTGGTGGTAACCTCTTTTGTGTATGTGGCTAGCAGTTTCCAAAATTCTGAAGCCTTGCTGATGAACTCACACCTTCTTTTATAGCCAACTAGAGCACATCTGCATGGTACTGAAAATTCATGTAATCCAAAAGGATTGGTTCTACATACCATTGAGACTTCCCCAAGAATCAATCTAGGATGATATCACTCTCAATGTAGAGCGAGTCCAAGGAAGGAAGATATACAGGAACCACAGAGTCAACATCTTGCCAACCTACCTCTCTTTGTTGGGATTATGAAAACTTTCAGAAATTGCAGAAGCACTTGCGACGTGCAGAAATGGATCTGGCGAAGGAACAAGCGGAAAAGGATACTGTAAGTTTTTATAGTTCACTAGTTTTCATATTTACTTGTTTAAGAAGCATCCTTTTACCGCTTTTCACTAGTTTCATGTCCAATTTCGTGTACTGCCTGGTCCACAATAGGCCGATTTTTGGCCAGCATGGAGTTGTATGAAAGATCTTCAAGATCAGTGTGAAAATTGCCTGGGGTGAACGGTGCTGCCATACACGTTTCCGACAAATCTGCGGCGAATATCTTGTCGTACAAGTTTTCGGCCGATTTTTAGTGCTTGCACGTTGTGGAGATGGTATCCGACTAATCACTGACGGCTTTTCACCATGACAGCAGAGAACGTCAGTGAATAGTGTGAAGCGCAACACTGACTTGTGGGGTGACCAAACACACTCCGCTAACAGTCTCTAGGCTATACCAGTCAAAAAATGAATAACATAGCCGAATTTTCAGGCAAGGCCCATCTTCACCTGTAAACAGGGATGCAAAATGCTACATTGGTTCTAGTTTTGCAATGCTCCTACACTCTCAACACATCCTCATTTCTGCGCTCTCGGCCATGATTATATATTTGCCTTCAGTATCATAGGCAGGTCCTAGATTATGTTTTCAAGTCACACTCGATTGAAAATGGCATTTGCACGTATCTTCAAAATGCCGAACTTCCGCATAGCATTCACAAGGGTGAGCTTACCTGGTCGACTGGATTTACACTGCAGCAGATCATGCATTGCATGATCCTTCCACATGTGCGTCTATGTTGATTTTTAGGTGCGGGAGGAATGTCAACGACAACAAGCAGAGTTGGAACGTCTCTCATCAGAGGTTAAGTTTTGATCATTGATCAGTTCAGTTTCATTTCTTATAGTGGAGCTTCTTTTCCGGCATGGGCAATGAAATTGAGATTTATTTGCACAGTGTTTGATTGGCTTGTAGAATAGGTAAGTTGCAAGAAGCTTCTTTTGCACAATGTCATTCCATTTTCACCTATCCCGGTTAGATATACATACAAGTTGAGCGATGGGTGATGTTGTGTGACATACCAACTCTTATATAGTTACATGTACCGAAAAAGTACCGCCAGAGCGCCCCGTCTCGTGAGAGCACCCCACCTTGATTTTACAGCCAGGGAAAGGAAAATCGTATCGCAGAGTGCAACGAAGGTTGTACGGTGTGAGAACCTTAGTGGACTAAGGTCACAATAAGCAGGTTTTTGTGTGAAGCTCGGTCCACTCGAAGGTACGGATTGTCTGCAGAGTGTGCAATATGTGTACAAAGTTTGTGTCGTATGCCGGACCTACAGACAGGAGTGACCACCCCCACAATACGAACACGAAAGGACGAGATGGTGGGGCGCTCTGGCGGTACTTCACGGTACTCACGGCCATAGCCTTCCAGTGCTTGTTGGTGCTGCGGTCAGGTTTTCTAAAATCTGAAGTCTGTCTGCGTTTTGGGATTTATGTTCAGAATAAGCAAATGAAGGGAGCTATAACGGATTACCAAGCCCAACTACAAACATATGTAAGTAATTATCACCTGTATATCAACCTGTGTATTCAGTGACCTGTGTACTTTTGAGTGTCTGAATGGAAGCATGATGATTTCACTGACCTCCTAATGATGTAGTTACTTTGAGCTGCAGCAACGTGTTGCAGGTTTGGCCATTCTTTCACTCCGAATCTAAGGGAAGGAAGATTGCCTTTAGAATACAGTTTGAAGCTGGGTTGCTGTTAGTGTATTTGTGTCTCTGTGCTGGTTTCTGTGCTTGTGTCTATGTTTGTGTGTGTGTGTGTGGGGGGGGGGGGGGGGGGGATTCACTGGCCAGAAAAAGTCGCTTCAAACAGCTGTGTGGTGGATACCAGGCTAAAAATAGTGGCGGTCAATTCATCAGCCTTGCAAGCTGTTGAATGGTGTAATCCCAGCACAAGTTCCTATGTCTAACATATCTGTTCGCTATCATCGCTTCCGCGATGGGCATGTCTGAGGTGTGTGTGTGTGTGTGTGTGTGTGTGTGTTAGTGTGTGTATGCGTATGCGTGTGTGTGTGTGTGTGTGTGTGTGTGTGTGTGTGTGTGTGTGTGTGTGCGTGTGCGTGTGCATGTGTGTGTGTGTGTGTTTGTGGTGTGTGTATCATTTGTTTGTGATGTGTATGTGTTTGGACCATGGACTGACTCGTCCACAACATGCTCTATGTTTTTCTTTGTAAAAGCGTGCCTCTGTGAGAAACCAACATGGCTTTGAGTCTGAGGAGAGGCAGCGACAAAAGCTTCGCAATGTCCAGCTCTCTGGTGAGCTAGACTCTCTGAGAAAGGTGAGACAGCATCTTTCTATTTAGCCATCTCTAGAATCCGTATTATTATAATATCTAGGGGACCTTCGAAGAATATTGACATCCCATTGTGTGGTACTGATCACCACCATTCGACATAGAGGAACGGCTGTTTGCTATTCCGGCTAAATTATCTTCCCCAAGCACTCTCCGAAAGGCATTCTTCTAGTTTCAAGAGCAGTATGGGAAGATTAGAGAAGATATACTAGGGATTACAACTGGAGCATGTGATGCTCTATAGTTGTGGGATATTCTGATTTATTAATTGCAGGCTTTGAAGCGGAGAAACATGACACGTAAATACAGCAGTATGCTTGTATCGTGACCGGCTTACTGCTTGGATATCAGTAGAAGTATTGCTTTTACACACTGCGGGTAAACAGTTACGCGTTTTCTGAATCTGGACCAACTCGCGATGAAATATTTTAGCGATTCGAGTTTCAAATAAAGAGGAGGATGATTAGTACTGTACACGCAAATTTCGATTGGTGCGGCAAAACTTTAGCGAAAGCACCCCTTTCGCTAAAATCGCGAAAAATTTCACCGTCGCTAAAATTAGCCGTTTTAAAGTACCATAAATAGTTCTGAAAACTAAACTATTGTTTGGCTGTTATACTATCTTGGAACCTTGCTAAGGAGACACTTGGCTGGTACTGTGAATTTGTCTACCAATGATACGTGGAACAAAAGGCTTGTATTGAATGGACTGTAAAGGATTTGGAATTCAATGGTTGTACATGTATGTGTTAGCTTGATTTTCCCTCATTGCCTGTGTAACAGAAATTCACTGGTAAGGTTGGGTTTGACATGCTGATTCTCACTATACAGGTTCATATTGTTTAGGGCAAGACTTGATCTGTTTTCCATGATTGTCTTACTGGTAGGATTTAGCTGAGAACAATACCCAGCTTGTTCAAGAGCGTGACAGGTTGGCAGCTGACCTGAAGGTAGCAACAACGGATATGCTGGAGGCAACAGAAGAGATCGTTCGCCTCAAGGTAAGTAGCATGACAGGTCACCAATTTCATTGTGCGTCCGTCCACTTTATCAAATGATGTGCAATGTTTGATGATGTCGTGATGCAGTTTGGGAAAGCTGAAACTTAGTTGCCTGATGAGTGCCATATGGGCATGAAAATCTGAGTTGCAAACAAATTGCAAGTGATCTTTCGTCTCCGATATGTGTTCGACCAGTTTTGGCTTATTAGTTGTAGCCACTGGTGTAAAGTCTCTTTACTGTCTCTCCTCTGTGATATTTTGTTGTGAGGAGACCACACTGGACTGCTGTGATAGTACTTTCCAAGCAATCTGACACCCCTGCTCTGTGATTGCAATCCATTCCAGGCCGCTCTGAAGCAATCCGATGAAATTGTCAAGAATATGAAAGACAACGAAGCTCGAATGGAGGATGAGGTAAGTTAACCCCAGGGGATCATCACAAAAGGTGAGAGACGCTCTCCATGGGGACTGGAGTGAATACATTGATGCTGTGCTCTCACATTAGGTGTTTGGCGATAGTGTAATGTTGTTGAAGTTCTCACTCGGCGAGTACACCAAGATAGGGTAGAGCTGATTTCACTCATTGCGCACTTACCGTTTAAAATACGAGATCATGTGCTACTTTTCTGTATCATTATCTGCTTTTTGGATTCTTCAATTTATTCGGGTCACACCAGTGTGAGCTGGTGTTTTCAATCCTGGCAGTGTTTCCTTAAGAGAAACAACTACCACTATGCCTCAAACACGAAGCTTGCCATTATCCTAGCCTCTGGTGTCCCTGGCACTAACATCTCCATTGACTCGGCCGTCGTCCACGTTAATTGTTTTAGTGTCATCATCCCGGCCAGCAGCTTACATCGACAGGCCGCCTGCATGGCCCCACACCCTCACTGGACTCTCTGAGAGCCAACCGGCACAGCGGCAACGGACACAGGATGAGATCGGAGAGCTGCACCGGCGTCTGGCTGTGGCAAACTGCCCTTACTCTGCGTACCTGCTGCTGTTTGCGTTTTAACCTTAATTTGGCCAATGTTGCCGAAAGGGATCTGTTCTACAGACGAGTGTATGTTGTGCAAAGTCAATAAGGAAAACTGGTCTTGCCAAGCAGTAGCTATTTCTTATGTGCAGTTTTAAAAATTATTCATGCTGCATGAGTATGTATGGTGTTGTGTTGTACTGCTGTGTGTGGGTGTAGATGGCTGAAAAGGAGCACACCTACCAGAAGAAAGCAGAAGAAGAGGACGCAATGATGGCAGCAATTGATGAAAAGTTAGAGGATTGGAAGGTATTGTCACTTGATATTGAAAACTTGACTAGGTATTTCTATCATTGGATGCTTTACGTGAGTGTGCACTGTTGCAGAAAGATAGCATCATTAGATGAGTATGCGTGTATGTACTTCTATGTCGCATGCACATTTGCATGTGAGAGCGTGAATGTGAATGTGTGTATGTGTGTGTGTGTGTGTGTGTGTGTGCGCGCGCGCGCGTTTGCGTGTGCGCGTGCGTGTGTGTGTGTGTGTGTGTGTGTGTGCGTGTGTGTGTGTTTGTGATGTGTGTCTGTGCGTATGTGCGTCTGTGATTCATGTCATGTGTGTGTGTGTGTGTGTGTGTGTGTGTGTGTGTGTGTGTGTGTGTGTGTGTGTGTGTGTGTGTGTGTGTGTCTGTGCGTGTGTGCGTGTGTGTGGGTGTGTGGGTGCATATGTTTGCAGCAAGTCCTGGATGAACGTAACGTTGAACTGGTCCAGTGTAAAGAGACGATATCACGCCAGAAGAAGGAACTGTTATCTTCCACTTCGGACAAGACAAATCATTTCAGATTGGCAAAGGTAGGAAGGATGGCTGGTGAATTGGTTGAAATCACCGAATATGACCTCATTTGGATTAAAAATGTATAACGAATTTTATGAGAAATTCAATGTCGCAGGGTCGTAAATGCAACCTGTTGCTCACCGCCTTGTACCTCTTTCCTACAACGACGGCTGCAATGGCCAACCAGAAGAAGAAATTGAGGCCACAGGGAAAGATTTATTTTCTTGAGCATGCTTATTGTGCGTGATAGTGTGATGTAAGCGTTAGGTCGCTACAGTGCTTCCCTATCAGTGCCGAGGTCGGGAGGAGCGAAGCACAATAAACGGAAAAAGAGAAAGAAAAGAAGTTCGGCGTAAACAGGGCGGAAATGAAATACACCTTATGATACACTTTATACAAGGGAGAGAGAGAAGGGGGGGGGGGGGAGAGCGCTGCATTTGTGAAACCATTGTTGGAACGTAGCAACGAAGACCAAACAAAAGGTCGAAATGCAGGAAGCGGAAAAAGAGAGGTATGCATGTCAGAGGCAGAAAGAAAGAAAGGTACGCGTGACAGAGGACTGTAATCAAATCAGAGGCGGCTACATGCTGCAGGCGTAGCAGGGTACCAGCAGTGATGGTCGAGGCGTGCCGAGTGGGGCGGAGATAGTTGGGGTGAGCACTGCTCCAAGTCTGTTGAACCAAACTTGTGCCTGCATGCCGGCATGCACTCAGTACTGATACAGAGGCTGGAGGTGGCCAATTTCCAGCTTGAGGCCAGGACGATGACAACTGGACAGTGCAGTACTGGAGGACATCCAGGTCAGGGTGGGGAGGGTAGGTCGGATCCACAGCAGCTCCCAGGCATATCCAGTGTTGAGAGAGATGGCGAGGCTCGAGTTTTACGTCGCCAGCCGGCGATTAACGGCGTCCCGAGAGTGAGGCAAGCAGGAAACTGCAAAGTGCGGTCAGCCGAGCTCGGGGGTGGCAGGCATGGCGAAACTCTTGAGAGCCTGTGTCAGGAGTCACCACTTTAGGGTTTTACATCGGCCCCAGACTCCCATCCTCCTTTCCCCACTTATGATGCCTGACCGCAACTCCAACAGACCTCTGGTCGGTCAAGTTGCTCTCAGTACATTGGCACATTGTCCCTACATCCCCTTTGTATTGTTTTATGTTGGCATCCGCTATGGTGATCCACATGTTTCCAAGTAGGGCTGTGATCATAGTAAAAACGGAAAAAAGGACGATGCCTGCAATTGCCAACCGGACAACGAAGAAGTTAAGGCCAAAGGGAAAGATATTATTTTCTTGTACATACTTGTTATAATGTGATAGTGTGATGTAAGTGTCAGGTCGCTACATCTCTGCCTGTTTCCGGGCCCTGGAAAAAGTCCCAAAAATGTAGTCACCGAATGTTTCATCCTGGATACCATCCATGAGCAGAGAGCTGTGTATAGTGTACCGACATGGAACATAAGCAATGTTTACAGTATGATTAGCTGAGATCAGATGAGGTTATAGTAGCTGCACACATCAGCGTTCACAGAATAACTTGGTTAAAACCATTGATTGCAGATCATTGTTAGTAATCATTGTATTCATCAAGGTTCAGTTCCAAAATCGACTTGTGTGTTTGCTCGTTTTCTGGACAGATTGCAGAGAACCGTGCTGAAGAGATTGATGCACTGAATGATAGGTTGATGAAGGCAAGTCAATGAATTTGTGTTAAGCTTGGAATAACTTTCCTATTCAAACAACAATGTAAAATGTGGAGAAAGGTTTGGCTACTTTCAGCCTAGCAGTCATCTCTGTTTTGATTACATGTACATGTATGTCCTTCCCATCGTATTCCGCACAAATATTAAACCCATCTCCTTAAACAAAATGGCAGCCGTCAACAGGAAATCTGAAAAGGAACTTCAGGAATCATTGTTATAATGAATGATCAATAAAGTTGAACAGATTGGAAGGGAAATGATGAACCTCGTATTCGTGTCTCTTACAAATGTTCAACTCTTGTGATGGTATTCCCGGCACTTTCCTAGCAGATGGAAGAAGAAGCCACAATGAATTCCGAGAAGATGGAGCTTATGAAGAAACAGACAGGTAAGTAAGTAAGAAGTTGCAGGATTACTTTTGAAAACTTGAATACTGACTTCGCCCATCAGTACTACCTGGAAAGGCTTGGAAAACTGCTTGAAGAGTGCCGAATGCAGAGACCGCAGAGCTTTATGGAAGAGAGAGGATCCAAGTGGAAAATGTTGGAACTTTAGTTTCTTGCCAAAGCATAATACAGAAGCAGAAGTTTATCCGTTAACTACATGTAGATAACCTGCGGTGCGGATCCACATAAGTTACCAGGTAGGACAAGAACTGCCTTTCCGCCCCATGGGACATTACCACGCCAAGTAACCTACACAGTGGGGAGGATAGATCAAGTCAGCGAAATCATATGCCAAAGGAAGACGGCCTGGGACAAGGGTTACATTGTTGCCACAAAAGGGGGGGGGGGGGAATATACGTTTTATGCGTGCTTTGATATAGTATTGTTGCGGACATTGAAATCCGTTGAGAAGTCAAGTGGCCGCGGGGCGCTAGCCATGCAGCCGTTAGCACTGCTGTTCCATGTTTCAGTGTTACAGTGCGTGTGCACTAAGCAAGAAACACCGGATCTCTATGTCAACAACTCTAGGTGTCTTTCTGCTTAATGTCACTGAGATTTTCTTTTCATTTTCATAAGGTGTAGGCTAGGCTGTTACCTCTGTAGTTACCTCTGTAGTTACCTCTGTAGTTATACTCTGTAGTTATACCTTCATTTTTTTGTCCATAATTTACTGTTCTTCCACAGGTGACAGTGAAAGTCAGCGGCGGATTACCGAGCTGGAAGCACTCAACTCACAGTTAGCTGATCAGGCTTCTCACGATCGGCAGCTGTGTGAACAGGTACAGACTTGATCTGCGCTTCACATAACTATACAATGTACGTGTAGATGTATCTGAGTGATATGCCAGTGTCAAGATTTCAGTCCAGATCGTTCTTCTGATCACAACTTGTGGCCAAAACCAGTGTTTGGTTCAACAACAAATGCAGTTAACTGAATTCAGCATAATTGTTGTGATTCCCACATAATGACAATGGAATTGTGGATGCCGGATTGCAAAACCTGATGAACAAACCCCACAGCACTGGGAGCATATTGGGCAAACTCAAAAGAGGACACATTTCATGTGTTCTAGATAGGACCTTGCCAATACCAACAAACCTGAAAGCCTTTCATAGGACTGAAACATCGCACAATGCCTGTTTGGTTGATACAAATTGGAGTATTTTCTTCTACATTTGCTTCAGGCTGCTCAAGATGCAGCAGCGAAGGATCAGCAATTGGCAGCTAGTTTGACCAAGATCAATGCACTAGTCCAGGTACGTTTCTTTGTGTTTGATGTGTCTACAAGGCATGCGTGTATACGATATGTGTAATATCTTGTCAGGTACGTTTCCAAAAGCACATCACGGTGCAGTAATAATTTCTGCACACTAGTCAGTTACCCGTGTCTAGCATGGTACCCTAAGAATTAGCACACATCTGTCACGTTTCACTACAAGCACAGCCCCATTCACGCAGCACAAATTAGTTGAATTTGGCTGTCGGAATGTGTATCCGGGGAAGTGGGTCTGATTCCAGCGAGTGACAATGTGGTACACTGCTGACCGAGTGTGACGTGATACCCTATACCAGCACTAGCGCTGTGATGCACGTGGTATTCAATTCAGCTGTGGCCTTTGTTTTCACCATTATTTTGCGTTTTTGGATAGGGACACTATGGGTTGACAGAAGCCATGAAAGAGATCCAGGAACTTAAAACCCAAGTATCGTTACGTGACGAGTAAGTTACTGTTGGAAGCTTGGCTGAATTGAGCACTTGCCCCATATAAAAAAGCTCTGTGCAAATCCAAAACCTATCTATATTCCAATTCTGTGGAAAAAATGAGACTGCTATGATGCGTTTCTTCCTTCTCTTGGTATGAAATAGGTTACCGACGATTACAATCAACTTATCCTATTATAGGCATCAGTTTCGCATCTTTCCTACCTCAGTACAGTTGCACAGCATTCATCTTTCCTACCTCAGTACAGTTGCACAGCATTCATCTTTCCTACCTCAGTACAGTTGCACAGCATTCATCTTTCCTACCTCAGTACAGTTGCACAGCATTCATCTTTCCTACCTCAGTACAGTTGCACAGCATTCATCTTTCCTACCTCAGTACAGTTGCACAGCATTCATCTTTCCTACCTCAGTACAGTTGCACAGCATTCATCTTTCCTACCTCAGTACAGTTGCACAGCATTCATCTTTCCTACCTCAGTACAGTTGCACAGCATTCATCTTTCCTACCTCAGTACAGTTGCACAGCATTCATCTTTCCTACCTCAGTACAGTTGCACAGCATTCATCTTTCCTACCTCAGTACAGTTGCACAGCATTCATCTTTCCTACCTCAGTACAGTTGCACAGCATTCATCTTTCCTACCTCAGTACAGTTGCACAGCATTCATCTTTCCTACCTCAGTACAGTTGCACAGCATTCATCTTTCCTACCTTAGTACAGTTGCACAGCATTCATCTTTCCTACCTCAGTACAGTTGCACAGCATTCATCTTTCCTACCTCAGTACAGTTGCACAGCATTCATCTTTCCTACCTCAGTACAGTTGCACAGCATTCATCTTTCCTACCTCAGTACAGTTGCACAGCATTCATCTTTCCTACCTCAGTACAGTTGCACAGCATTCATCTTTCCTACCTCAGTACAGTTGCACAGCATTCATCTTTCCTACCTCAGTACAGTTGCACAGCATTCATCTTTCTTACCTCAGTACAGTTGCACAGCATGCATCTTTCCTACCTCAGTACAGTTGCACAGCATTCATCTTTCCTACCTCAGTACATTTGCACAGCATTCATCTTTCCTACCTCAGTACAGTTGCACAGCATTCATCTTTCCTACCTCAGTCAGTTGCACAGCATTCATCTTTCCTACCTCAGTACAGTTGCACAGCATTCATCTTTCCTACCTCAGTACAGTTGCACAGCATTCATCTTTCCTACCTCAGTACAGTTGCACAGCATTCATCTTTCCTACCTCAGTACAGTTGCACAGCATTCATCTTTCCTACCTCAGTACAGTTGCACAGCATTCATCTTTCCTACCTCAGTACAGTTGCACAGCATTCATCTTTCCTACCTCAGTACAGTTGCACAGCATTCATCTTTCCTACCTCAGTCAGTTGCACAGCATTTTGCTGTGGTAAAATAAACGTTATGTGTGGTTTCATGTCTTGATCTGTGCACAGCGATATCAAAGGATTTGTTACTCAAGTCAATGAACTGCAAGTTGCTGTCAATTCTCTGGAAGATGAAAACAGTGAATTGTGTCAACGCCTTGGTATTGATCGTACGTCCTCTGAGTTCATGCATGAACTCCAGTTCAACAAGCGTGTCACTAATGAGCAAGAGAAGGCCAAAGCTAGGCATTTGGCAAGAGAGGTGGAGCGATTGGAGAGTGAGCGTGTTGAATTGAAACGTCAGCTACTTATCCAAGCGATGCAGAGAGGAGAAAGGTAGGTCGCAAGCTGACATGAAGTTTGCCCCGTATTTATTAGTGCTATGTCTAAGGCAGTGGACATGCAAAGTACAAATGGTGCCGAATGGGGCCCTGTGCGCAATGGAATCAAAAGTGGTGCATGAGCAAGTACAATCGGTGCATACATTCTAGGTTTAGATTCATGAGCTATTTGCTGCGGCCACTGTACACTACAGCCGTGTGTACGGTGGGTCACAGTATACTTTCAAAGTAGTTTGAGAACATATTCCACTTCTAAGCAAGGCTAAGCTATCTTTACAAACCCCTGAAAATTGTATCCTAAATTAATCTAGCCTACAAAACTCAGCTAGGTATTTTTTTCAACTGAGTACTAAAACCAGTGTCTTTTCATGGCTGTATAAAATCCACATGTTAACAGGGCGGTGCAACTTGGACTCACAACGGAGGATCTAATTGCTGTGGAGGAGTTTGCCGACTTACTTCGAAATGCTGATCACCGTAATGAGCCACGCCCTGATCCCGTGCAAGTGATGACATCACAGCATTCCTTGAAAGAATGGAAAGAGGAATTGAAGCATCGTGATGAAGAGGTAGGAGCAACTCTTGTCACCGGTTCTTTGTGATGACTGAAAACTTGCAGAAAGGAGTCCTCCATTTCCATCACTCTGTCTGTCTGTCTAAATACCATTCTGGAGAAGACTATGGTCAAAACGTTAATGTATCAGTATCAATCAGCCACGTCATGCTCCTGTCACACTTGAGTGAATGTACTCGTACAGACTGTGTACTTCTGACAACGTGGACGACTTGCACCATGCGAATAAGCGGTTTCGTCAGCTATCTTCAAGCGCGTACATGTACCTATCATGTACTTGTATACATGTACTTGTATCCTTTATGGGGTGCGTCCACTCTGACATTGTGTGCACAGCTGGAGAAAGTCAGGCTATCCTACAAGCAGGCAAAGTCCAGCATGACAATCCTGAGCAGAGAAAAGGCAGAACTGGAGAAGCAGCATAAGGTCAGCTTATGTCTTATGGCCATTTCAGTGTGTACCTGTTGACAGCATAAGGTCAGCTTATGTCTTACGGCCATGTCAGTGTGTACCTGTTGACTTTTTGTTTGCTGCAGACTTGATCTATACAACATCCTATTCTGGGTTTTGAGTGATTTTGCAGGTTTTTATTGTCTTGGTTGCATTGCTGTCCTCTTCCACTCACACACACTTTCCGCTGGCTTCTGTCCTGATCATCTACCAGGCATTGGCGGATGAGAATCTTGAGCTATCCAGGTTGCTGAAAGATGTGGCCCAACAGGTGAAAGCTATCGAGTCTCTCCCTGCACGCGAGTCAGAAGCATCAAAAAGCAAATTGGTGTCACGAAGAGGTGGAGATGAAGTGGCCAGTGCCGTAGCAGGTACTAAGCTAATGTCCAATGGCTTGGAAGAGCTGTTAGCATTATGGCATGCTAGACACAGTCCTGGTAGCCAAGAAGGTGTAGCGTTCCAGTTACGCGCTCAAATTGATCAGCTTGTGGGCAAGTCAGCGCAAGTTGGAGATCAGCTACGCCAAAGTCAGCAACTATGTGAGCAATTGACTTCTCAGAAAGCACGGCAAGAACTTCAGGTAAGCATGTATTTTTGTGTATAGCGGTCTCGAGATAGCTCTATTTTGGAAGGTTGAGCTTCAAACTTGATATTTATCTATAATTTGATGGCGCCAAAGGTGTCATTGAACTTTTCAAGAGCAATTGCCATAAGAGAAACTCATCCAATGCACGCAACACTCCATGATAACAGTTACCGGTAAATACTAAACTGCTTCAACTACCCAGATATAAAGAGATTCCATGCTCAGTTCAGAATACCTTCATAATTTTTGCATCTTCATAATCCTATGTGTTGTTGATCTGCTCTTCATATGGCCTGCATGTACATGTAGATTGAGACGCTAGAGTCGGATATTGCCATCCTACGGCAAGCAGGTAAGCTTGGTGCCTATCCTTCCACTCCCGTATTGGAATTTGTTCATGTGGAAATTTCTATGGCAGTGTGTGCTTCTAGTAAGTGTACTTTTCGCTGTAATATACTAGTACTTGTATTTGGTGACTTTGTTCATGTTATAGGTATGTACTGTTGTTTGTTGTTTGTTTGTATTCTTTATTTAGAGTGGGAAGTCCAAAACAGGCCCTGGCCTAATAACAATGGTCCCACTAGTGAGGGAATGCTGTATATCTGTGCATAAGGATCAGTGAGTGTAATAGCAACTAGTAGGGAAAGAAAAAGAGAGAAGAAAAACAACTGTTGGTGGCAGTGTTGGGATTCAAAGCTTATTCTTTAGAGGGATTGAAATGTGCTGTAGTTGAAACCTTTTGACGGTGTGCTTGGAGTACAAATGTGGAAATATTTGGCCATTGCGAACTTACCTGGCCTTTGTGATTGGATCTGTCTGGCTATTTGGTAGGTGCTCAAATCTCCAAACACCATAACACAAAGCTTCCCGAGGAAATTCCTCTGACATCAGCGGAGATTATTGCCAGTTTAAACAAGCAATTGCTGCATACATTACATGTAAGTAGTTAAGACTAAAAAATCATATATTGTTAGTATGTTTGCTAAGTTGAAACTGTCCACCAAGCCAATCATACAAGCGGCTCGTACTTACTGCAAAGAGGAGGAACAAGACAGTTAGAGTCAGTAATCTGTTCTGTAGTGTTCCTGACAATGCATAACGTTTGGCTGTGTGTTTCTGATCTTGGTCGTATTACTTGGATTGTTTCAGTCAATTAATCATCCTTTAGTGGAGTCAGAGCCCACCAGGAGAAGAGTCTTTGAACTGCTTTGCATGAACCTATGACTGTTAAGTTGCCAGTGTTTGCTGTTGCCCAACACTAAGAAAATCTGTGACGAGTTGTGCATTATATTCACCCTGGGGCTGGTGTGATTAGTGAGGTATGCATCTTAGACATACTATAAGGAAGGCACTGATCGGCAAGGGTGTTACACTGCTAAAGAGTGCTCAATGCCCTAAGACACAGCTTTTCGCACAGTTGCCTGATGATCAGGAGTGAAAATGAAACTCTGCCGAGTTGCAACAGAGCTTCCTCTCTGTCTCTGTCTCTCTGTCTCTGTCTCTCTGTCTATGTCAGTCTCTGTCTGTCTGTCTCTCTGTCTGTCTGTTTGTCTGTCTCTCTCTCTCTCTCTCTCTCTCTCTCTCTCTCTCTCTCTCTCTCTCTCTCTCTCTCTCTCTCTCTCTCTCTCGTTCCTCTCTCTCTCTCTACTTTGCAAAAACAACTGTATACTATTGTCTGCCTCATCTTCCGTTAGGGATTCTCTGGTAGAAGTGTAGGATTAACACTGGACACCTATCTAGTTCAATGATGAACCTAGTACAATACAAACTTTCACTTGGAGCTGCTGACAAAGAGTTGTGCACCCATACAAAAGAGGCTTCCTTTCGGCACAGATCTCAGTTAGAAGTTTTGACTTTGACTGTTGAGGCTCCTTATAAATCATTGAGCACACCGTATTGAATGAAATAAGTTTTTGACTTTGAAAGTCCAATTCCTATTTAATTTGTTTAAACATGCGACGAGGATTGAGGATTTTGGTCTCCATTCATCTCTTTCGTTGATGTTGCTAGCAACTGTCAATCCAAGAAGAGCAGCTACGGAAATCGGAGAGGTCACTATCAGCTGTGCAGAGTCAGACAGCCTCCATACTTCATCAGCAGGTATTATAGTATCCTAATAAGCTCTCAATGATAACCTGCCAAATTTGGACTTCCGCCTACATTTTACTTACAAAAGGTTATCCCTTGCAATAGTCCCTGCTGCTGTGCGGCTATGTTCATGTCTGACATTGTGAATAGCATCTCAAACGTCATTATTACAACACAGACTGATACTATTTCTTTCCTCCGCATTGTAGTTAAAATGCCTGGCGTTGAATTGTTAAAAAAAAAGGAAATTATCGTGTCCGTTCCCGAAAGGAACTCTCGACGGCCGCTAGCACCCGGTAAACCTTAGCGGCAGGTGCAGCGCCTAACGGTGAATTGTTAGCCGTAGTGCATTGGTGGAGCTAGACATGCCTGTACTGGTTTCAGTAGACTGAGTATTTGACAAGGGATATGTACTTATATTATAACTCAGTAGACTGAGTGTTTGACATGGGATATGTACTTATATTATAACTCAGTAGACTGAGTGTTTGACATGGGATATGTACTTATATTATAACTCAGTAGACTGAGTGTTTGACAAGGGATATGTACTTATATTATAACTCAGTAGACTGAGTGTTTGACATGGGATATGTACTTATATTATAACTCAGTAGACTGAGTGTTTGACATGGGATATGTACTTATATTATAACTCAGTAGACTGAGTGTTTGACATGGGATATGTACTTATATTGTAACTCTGCCATGCTCTTTGACCTTGACCAAGTATTAGTTAGAAGCTGATAAACTGGCATTAGCAGCTTTCTAATCATGAGTTTAGACGCTCTTTCTTCTGAAACTTGCTGAGTCATTCGTCCCGCTTTGCATCTACGAGCTCGTACATGAGTAGGCACAGGGAGAAAGAAAAAAACACCAGTTCTTTGTTGAAAATCATAACAGTTACTGGGACTGTTCGTCGTCGTGACAGCACCTGCATGCGCTCAACATCATTTGTCCAACTTCATAACTTTCAGAGCTGACATGCTGAGTATGTATTCTGCCGATTGACCTGACAACTATTTGAAAAGTACAGTGCTCGCATCCCCTCTAAAAGCTAGGTAGATTGCTCGGTACTCAGGGTTCTGCTGTGCAGCTAGTTTGTGCTGTTGTCCATGTTGCTTCCTTTGTTGTTTGACCAGGGCCTGCTCTATCAGCAGTACGAATCAGATAAGTCTCTATGGACCTGCAAAGAAGAACAGATCAAGAAGGACAAGGCTCAGCTTGAAGAAAGGCATGTGGCTGACCAGTTGACTATTGCACGTCTTGAGGTACAGCTGGTGTGATGCTCTGTATGCTTCAGGTTATCTCTGCTATTATACTTTTAAAAAACATTACCATGATAGTGTGATGTCATTGTGGAATGATTAGAAAATTGGAGTGGCAATTTCTAGCAAGAAGATTACAGTTGACCTCGTTTATAACGAACTAGCGAATTTCGTGGTATAGCCAACCATTGACCATGTCCCCGTTTAAACCCATACAGAATGACCCTTTGTAGTGAACTGTTTTCGTTTATAACAAACCGTACTGTGTAGTGTCGGTTGATAATCCAGTGCACTCAGACCACTTGACAGTCATGACATATTGCTTATATGGTGTGCGGGCATTTCTATTCAAGAACTTCGGCAATAAAATTAGCTAATTCTCCTGGACAGTGGTATTTCCTATCAGGAGTCAACTGTAGGTGTGTGGAGGGTCCGGTCGGAATGTCTTTTCTCCTCCTGAATACCTACCTTTGCTGGACATTGTTCTCTCTCAAACAGCGCATGGATGAAGCCAGAAAAGACAAGGATGCTAGTGATTCATACCTCTCCGAACTCAGCCAGCGTGTTACAGACATGGAGATCACAGAGAGGAAGCTTAGAAGACAATTGTTGACAGTCATGGAGGATCACTCTCATTTGACCAAAGTATGTTGGAACTATGTGTGCTTTCGAGACGAAGTTGTCCCTCTTTCTGTATGGTAGTGATGCAAAGGTAGCGATTGCCCATAATCAACGCTGTATCATTATTATTATTGGTAGTGTCTGCTGATAAATGGATAGTGTAATTCTCGTTTTCTGAAATGAATGGTGAGCTTTGCAGAGGTAAATAATGATAGTATGACAGCTGGGGCTGCTACTGCAAATTAGATACATGTATGTTAAACATGGATATGGAGTACTCTCCAGTACTATTATGCCAGCAGTACTTACCCGGCCTCCCCGATATCCTACTGTATAAACTCGCTATTTTTTGTGACATACTGTTAGCTGTATAGCAGCCATCTTAACACCTTGGACACCTTGACATGTAGAGGTACTTATATTATAGCAGCCAAACAACTGTGACACAGGAAACATGGCTCTTTATGTGTCCTTTGTAAACTGTAGCAGTGGTGAGGCTTTCCTGCAGCTGCAGCATTCATCGGAAAAATGGTTTCAGAGCAGACCCGCTCTCTTCCCATTCACTTTGCAAACTCGAAATCGTTCCTCAATCAATTATTACGTTTCGGCAAAAAATGCCCTCGTGAGGTATGCAATGGTGTGCAGGTTTCCAAAGGAGCAGTTATATACCAGTACATGCAATTTGTAATGCTATGATGTGCTACATTTGTCAACTGTGCTTCCTTATTGTTTGTTTGCTATCCAGGACTACAACATGCTGAAGAATGATCATTTGTCAATGGAAGCAAAGTGTCAAGAAAGGATAAGCGCCTTGCAGCAGTACCGCATCCTCTCTGAAGCTCGTCTTGGTGCTCTAAGCCAGCGGTTGGAGAACTCCTCGCCGCTGTCGGAACTGACCAAGACTCAGACCAATTTGAATGAGCTCTCTGCTAAGTACCGTGCACTGTTGAACCAACAGGCACAGCACGAGGATCTTCAGGGAACTATAGACGAGTTAAAGGTATCACGCTGTACTGAAATAATGGTGCTAGATTGCTAAACATTGATGCATGCCGCTGAAGTCCCTGGTAGGTTGCTAAACATTGATGCGTGCCACGAAATTGTGTATAATGCCACCAGCATGCTCTACTTCGTCACAAACACCTAATGCTCACCATCTCTTGACCAGTCAGATACCGTCTGGCAAACGTTGGCTCGACACCAGACTTCTGTTGAGGAGAGGGGGCACACCTTCCCTAAAAATCTAACCATATTAGTACATATTTCCTGTTGAATGGTTCATGTATGCGGCCTGAAACAAATTTCTAGTGGAGGGGTGTAAAAGTCGACACCCAATCCTCTCTCTATATTGGTATCGGTTGCTTGTAATTCACTTTTCAAAAGAGAATACACGACAACTAATTGGTGAAGTCTAACTGTTCGAATGCTCCTAGGAAACCCTCTTTCTAAAAGCAACTTGAACCAAACTATGGTCCCAGTCGCGGTACTTGAGTTCCTTGACAGGAATCCTGTATTCCCTGGCCCCTTCTAATGCAATAGACTAGCGATAGACATTTTTAAAATCACACGCATATTTGTTGTGGCATGAGATATATTCATTTTTAGTGTTGCGATGGTATTTTGTGTGCACAGTCTCAGTCATCCAGATATCAAACACAAGTAGAGGAACAAAAGGCCGAGCTGTTACTACTCAAGGAGAGAGCTAGCAAAGCTGAACACTTGTTGAAGACAGCTGGAGCAAGTGGTAATATTCGTGTGTTCAACATGCTGTTTATGCCTTGCCAGAAATTGTAGGTTGTTTTTGCAAACTCAATAGCATTTTCATAAGGCACCCAAGGAACACTGTCAAGCAGCCCTGGTGTTGGTAAACATCCGAGTAAAAACTATTAGGACTGTATTCTTTGTGCCATGTTTGGTTTCATGCTGGCCAGATGAAGGCAAGCATCATCTACGGTCCTCACAACAAGTCTCACTGCTGGAGATGAAGGCGCTCAGTGCAGAACAGAAGGCCGAGCTTGCAAACCAAAAGATGAACCACTTCAAGAGTACAGTAGCACAAGTGGAAGAAAGAAATTTCCAACTAGAAAAGCACTTTGAAGAGGTATGGTTAGCGCATGGTGTGTATGACCAAAAAGATACGGGAAATATTTATTCACAACAGCGTGACAGTTTAGTCCCTCCTTCATTACTCACCCATATACATTTTTTGTATTCCCAGCATCAACGCACTGCCCCGTGGTGCTGTTCTGCGCACACCATACTGGATCATTGTATCAATACATCACCATGCTGTGCTGTTTTAAGCACACGATTATGGATGCGTGCAGCAGTCGTATCAGCTGGAATCAGTTATTGATGGACATTTCTCTCTACCATAATCGGTCCTTCCCAGCTTGCTTGCCTGATTGCTTGTCTGATTGCTTGCCTGATTGCTTGCCTGCTTGCTTGCCTGATTGCTTGCCTGCTTGCTTGTGGTGTAGTTAACAAAGCTCAATATAGAAGCTCAGCAGCAAGAATCAAACATTCGCCAACAACTCAATGGTAATGTACTCTTCGGCATTCTTGTTCATTTTGATCATTTCACCGAGGGACAGGAGATGCTTCTGGTCTGAAGAATTGTGGATTCTCCGTCCTATTTGTTGTGTCTTTCAAGCAATCTGTCACCTTCATGAAGCAAGTGTACAGTTATGAGTGTTCTGGTGGTTCTGTGTTTCCAGTCTCTTGCCACTTATCTTTCAAATGAGCTGTCAAGTCTACCATGAGAAGCAAGGTTCATTGTGGCTGTATTCACATGCCTATTGGAGACTTAGCTGGTGGTCTTGATGGTCAGGCTTTGGCCAGACCATTTTTCAGTCAAGTATTAGGACTTGTGCACATGTTGAGATGGTGAAAGGCACATCAAATGCTGCTACTAGAAACCAATAGCATGCCAATGACTATACTTGTCGTACCATCATGTTCAGGCAACTGCACTAGTTCTGGAGAGTGTTCTATGCATCTGTTGTGTTCATTTTTTGCTTGGTCAGGTTGCATCCCTGCTAGTGAGGCAACTGCTTGTCGAGAACAGATACAGCGGCTGATGGAATCTGAAGCTGCACTGCAAGCCGACGTGACACGGCTGCAGAACGAACTGGGTGTGCTGACACAACATGGAAACACGGTGGAGTTGTGGCAGACTGTGCATCAAGCTGAGATGAATTCTCTTAGAACACAGCTGATTGAAAATACCTCCAGAACGGATGAAAGGACCCTGATCGGTGAGAACAATAAGAAGGGGCCCATTTTGTAGTAACCTTTTGAATCGAAGACGGGTACATGCCATATGAATTGTCACTCCAGGAAACAGCCATGCTTCTGTGAATTTCCCCCAAATGGTAAATACCCATAGAGATTGACTATCATGACACCTGCCTCACGGACATGTGCCAGTTCGCCAAATCAGTAGCTGTTTCTAGGAGCCTTCTGATGTGATCGTGCGCAGCAACACATTCGTAATCTGTGTTTGTGCCGATCAGGAAAACTACACCGTCACATTGTAGCCTTGGAAGTCAGAGAGGCCACAGCTATGCACAAACTGCACCAGGCTTCATCCAAGGTAGGCGCAAGTTAAAATGAGGAATTTCTTAGTACAATCATGCACTACCTTACAGGCTAACCCATTGCTGTACATTGGTGAACCTTCACCCGCGTTGAGTTTTAATGTCATCCAAGGTGTTTTTTCTGGGGTACGCAGTACTACACACATGCATGCACGTGGTGTAATTGGTTTTGACGATGATTGAGTTGTGAATGGTGCATGCATTTATTTCTCTTTCTGTGATGTTCTTGCTGGCTGCAGAATGATTGTGTAGCTGGGAAAGATGACAAGAAGATTTTCGGAGCGTTTTTTTCTTCATAAAGATTGCGTGTTGTTTCTTCTGGTGGTAGGTGACAAACTTGGAGGCATCGCTGGCCAAACTGCAAGAAGAAAGTGATGCAAAGACAGCTAGTCTGCACCAGTGCAAGATGTCAGCCATTAGTAAACAGTGTCAGCTACGCCATACCATACAGGTATATACGAGAACACTATCTTCCGGTATGCCATTTAGCCATGCTGATCTGGACGATTCATTTGCTGGTGGTGCGAAGGACGGTAGGAGAAGTCCAAATTAGCTAAAAAAAAGCAGCGCATTTGCTGGGTTAATGGAAGAACAAGCTTATACCTGGGTACATATTATGCATGTGTGTGTGTGTGTGTGTGTGTGTGTGTGTGCGTGTGTGTGTGTGTGTGTGTGTGTGTGTGTGTGTGTGTGTGTGTGTATGTATGTGTGTGCGTGTGTGTGCGTGTGTGTGTGTGTGTGTGTGTGTGTGTGTGTACATGCATGAAAGTGTGTATGTGTGTTTGTGTGTGCATGGAAAAGAGAGTGTGTGGGTGTGGTGTGTATGTGCGTGCGTGCATGTACGCATATCTATGCATGTGTATGCATGCCTATGCATGTCCCTTGGTCCTGTGCAGATGCTGCGACGTCAGTACTCCGGCTGTGTAACTCTAGCCCAGCAAGAACAGTACACTACAATGTTAAGACATGCCCGTGCTGCACGCTGCGATGCTGAGAAGAAGTTGAAGGAAGTAAGTTACATGTAACATGAACAGTCGTCGATTTAGTCCAAACTCCTCCGCGTGTGCTCTCTGCTGCTAACCTGCGGCTTACCAGTATCTAGTATCTACCATGTGTGCCAGACCACTACTAATCTATCAGCACAAACCTCACTTGCTCCACCAGCGGTGGGGGGGGGGGGGGCTTCCGGGCAGATAAAGAAGAGGTCGAATAGTCGAGTATTAGCTACCGGGGCATCGGGTCGACGAAGTTGCACTCTGCCGCCCTATATATTTAACAATGTTAGCTCTTCATTGTGCTCCCTACTGTTTGTGGTAAAGGCTGTTGATCAGCAAGTAGCAGTGGATGATCAGCTTGCTGAGCTGCAGATACGACTAGCTAGTGTTCAGGAACTGCTAGGATCCCTACAAGATGGCACACATGCATCCAAGGTAAGCTGCTTTCTGGATCTGCACATGCACCAGGGGATTGCACTGATGCCCTTTTGGATTTGATGTTGTGCACGTACCCTGTGAATAATTCTGTACCGTGCCCCTCCATTGCCATTGAAGTTGTAATCATGGTACTGGCCTCTTATGCAGCAACCACCTGATGAAAGGTCCACTATGCCATAGCAGCTGCATGGACACATTCTAGAGGCTTGTGTTGACTGTGCTGTACAGTAGTAAATAGTAAATTACTAGTAATACGTGTACCATGTCGACTGTGTTTCACTATTTCCAGATTGTGCTATGGCATGGTAAGATGGAAGAAGTTCGACTGGAGAACTTGCGTCAGCTGCGTCTTGTTGACAAAATGAAGGCAGAGGTAAATACATCCGATTTGAACTCTTCCTGTCATTAGTTATCAAAAGTGGACAGCTTCACCGGCCAACTTTGGGCAACTTGATTGTGCTAGGAACCCATTCGTTACCATGGAGAGCCCAGCTCTTTTCTCCTCTCTCCTTTCGTAACTCACTGTGCACTGCACATTGATGTGTGGTTCTTGGCGTGTAGCACTGAGAAGAAAAGTGGAGAGAGAAAGCAACAGGGAAATCATGGTGCATGGAACCCGAACTCTGAAGTGCCAAAATCGCCCTATCAGGTGGAGGATTTTGTTGATGTTTTGGAACATCTCCCTACCCCCTACCCCCCGCCCCGCCCCCCCCCCCCCCCTCCCGGCCAGAATGGAAAACCTCCCTACTCGGCACAGATTTTGCGGCAAGTATGCTAACTATGCATGTGCATTGGTGCAATCATGTGTTCTTGTGACCAGCACTCTGTTCCTATGCATGGTTAAACGTGCTTACATGGGATGCCCATGTTTACCCACACATGTTGACGGCAGTCGACCTTCCTACTGGCAGCCCTGTGAGAAGGGAGATCTCCCTACCATAGACGAATTGAATTTGGCAACTCAGGAAACTGGTCGCTATGTGTGTGCACTTTTGCAGATCAAGTCTCTGCAGCTATCCAATGATCATCATGAAGAGGTTGCATTGCAAGCCGAAGAATCCCTTGTAAAGGAGCAACAGCAGCATGAAACTGAGCTTATGTCTTGGGAGAGAAGAGAAGCCGAATTGGAAGACGCCATTCATAAACTCCAGGTTTCTCAGGAACGAATGCTAGAGTCTGCCAATGAGGTAAGGTTTGTATTGCATGAGGGTTTCAAGTGGGCATTGCTATAATTGTATGGAGACATCTCGACAACATTGGACCATATCAAACGTTTTGTAGAAAAATACCTTGTGATACTTTCCCGGACCCCATAAACATATTCCTATCATTTTACTCCGAGTTGAAGGTTTTTAAATGATTATAGATATTATTCATTAGTTTGAGGGAGTTGGACACGGTAAAAGTCTGAAGAAAAAATGACTCTCGCCACCAGGACTGCAACCAGGGACCCTCGCTGATGGCCAGCGATACTCTACCACTAAGCTATGGTGTAGTCGTCCTCTAAGAAGCGACCATTCAACCTTTTCTCCAGCCTTCGAAACTCACGCTTCCTGTGAGTCCACACAGGCGGGTGGGACGCAGCCCTCACTGGAACCCACATACCTCACGTACAAACTAGCATGTGAGGTGCTCCAATACATAAAATATTTAGCTCGGATAATGAGCCAGTAATAAATGTAAGATAGAAGAAGAAATCACATGGAAACGAGTTATGAAGCAACTATCCACGACTGTAACCAGATGATAAGCAGTTAGAACGTCGATAACAGGGCACAAAACTGACAGGCTGCTGAGACTTTCAGATATTCAACGACCTGAGACCTAGCTCTAACACATCTCCAGTGCGCAAACCAACTGCCTTCCAACTAGGAAGGTTCATTGTTGGGTAGGACTAGGTCTCAGATCGTTGAATGTCTCAGCAGCCTGTCAGTTTTGTGCCCTGTTATCGCACTTTCTGACTGCTTATTATCTTGTTACAGTCGTGGATAGTTGCTTCATAACTCGTTCCCTTGTGTTTTCTTCTTCTATCTTACATAAAAATTTAATATTCCTTTGACTTTTAGTCGTCCAATGTTTGTTTCTTTCTTTTGCTACTACAGCTGGGAAGTTCGCAACGTCTTGTACCAGACCCATCACAACCTGTTGCAACACAATTAGAACAGGCTGTTGGTCGTCTCAAGCACCAAGCGCTGCGATGTGCCAGATTGCAGGACCACTGTGATGCTTTGGAAAAGGTAATGTACAACCAGGGGCATCGGAAGGTAATTTAGTGTGGTACGGTCAGCCATCTGAAGTACAATTTACTCGTGGGTGAGGGGTGGCTGAGCCGAAAAGTTTGGAAATTTAGAGCCCAAATCAGTGCATTTTATTGATTGAATTAACAGGGTACTTGGGGCAAATAGTGGTACGGTCAATACCGTAGTGACCGTACCGTGTCCGACGCTCCTGACAACTGATCTACAGTGTACGCCCAGCATCGTATTGATCATAGCAATCGAAAGCAAGCTGCGAAAAGGTTACATGCACTAGTTACTTATAAAGTAAAACAAAATGACGAGAAATTCATTGCTGCTGCATGTACCCCATCTACCTTGTTTAATGTGCTTCGAATGTGGAAGCATGGAGCAGCTTCATTGAGCTGCTTCTAATTGTTGGTTTGGAGTTCGGAACCTTGATGATGTCGAATCTGGTAGAAAAAGTGCTTGAACTCAGTGTTTGGACCTCCTGTCTATTGTGGATGTCCTTTTTTTTTTTTTTTTTTTTTTTTTTTATTGGGAACACAGCCCTACAAAGAGACATGTGGAGACAAACACAAGACAAGACACAGGGGATGTAGGGACGACGTGCCGATGTACAGGGAGCAACTCGACCGACCAGGGGTCTCGGCGTTAGCGTTGCAACCTGGCATCGAAAAAAAGGGGGGGTTGCATGGTCAGGTAGCAAAAATAACAATTTGGTGCGAGAAAGGGGCGCTAGTATTGCACCAAATAATATAAATTAATACGTGTAATGACTAAACCAGAAGGGAAAATGAAGAAAGAGGACAATAATCATAACAAGCAAGTAGTAGTAGAGAGGTAAATACTAAATGGGTCTCAAATCTCAATATCATCGTCACAGGTACTGTGTGGACCACAGCCATCTCTTTCGGATTAGATCCTTACATACGTTGACCTTGAAGGTTTGGAGGCGTCTTGAATGAGGCTCGTGAAGCAGGAGGTCCGCAGGCAGGTTGTTCCAGGGTGTGATGGCGAAGAAGGGGAAGGATCGCAGGAGGTAGTCAGGGGCTGTGCGAGGGGGTGTCCACTTCAGCTGAAAGGCATGGTGCGTCTGACGTGTTTGCCGTGTGCACATGCTAGCTACGGCAGGGGGCTTGGTTGGTGGCAGCATGGCCTTTACCTGGGGAGGCCCTGGAATGTAGTGCAGCTTGAACAAGTATGACAGGGCTGCCACCATCCGACGAAGCTGAAGACTTTGGAGGATGGTTCCAGGTCCCAGGAAATGCAGGGCACGTTGCTGAACCTTGTCCAGCTGGGCCATGTTAGTTGCGGCTGCGCTCGACCAGGCCAGTGGGGCATATTCAAGTAGGGGTCGCACGAATCCCTTGTAGACCGTCACTCGACCATGGTCGTCCAGGATGGGTGCTGCCTTTCGTAGGAAACCCAGCCTTTGGGAGGCGCGCAGTGCAACACTGCGAGTGTGCGCTCTGTAGGAGAGAGTGGGGTCGAGCATGACTCCCAGCAGCTTCAGGTCCTGTCCAGTAGTGTAGCCAGGATCATCAATCGGGGGGGGTTTCAACAATTTTCCCACAGGACCTCATGTGTTCAGCCCTTTCATGGTCCAAGCATGCCATATTTCGATTCGCAAGATCCTCAGCTTTTTCATTGGCTGGAGCGGGGACCCAAAGCACCCTACTCAATGTGTGCTTAAAACCTAGAACATCCCACTGGCTATGTGCCTGCTGTCTATTGTGGATTTCCTGTCTACTGAGGATTTCCTGTCTACTGAGGATTTCCTGTCTACTGAGGATTTCCTGTCTATGTGGATCTCCTGTCCATTTGGATTTCCTGTCTATGTGGATCTTCTGTCCATCTGGATTTCCTGTCTATGTGGATCTCCTGTCCATCTGGATTTCCTCTCTATTGTGGTTCTTCAGTCTGTTGTGGATCTCCTACCTATTGTTGATCTCCTGTCCCTGTGAATCTCCTGTCTATTGTGAATCTCCTGTCTATTGTGAATCTCCTGTCTATTGTGAATCTCCTGTCTATTGTGAATCTCCTGTCTATTGTGAATCTCCTGTCTATTGTGAATCTACTGTCTATTGTGAATCTCCTGTCTATTGTGAATCTCCTGTCTATTGTGGATCTCCTGTCTATTGTGGATCTCCGGTCTATTGTGAACCTCCTGTCTATTGCGTATCTGCTGTCTATTGTAGATCTCCCGTCTATTGTGAATCTGCGATCTATTGTGGATACCCTGTCTATTGTGGATCTCCTGTCTATCGTGGATCTTTTGTTTATTGTGGATTTCCTCAATTTTCCTGTCTATGTGGATCTCCTGTCTATTGTGAATCTCCTGTTTATTGTGGATCTCCTCTCTATCGTGGATCTCCTGTCTATCGTGGGTCTGCTGTCTATTGTAGATCTCCCGTGTATTGAGGATATCCTGTCTATTGTGGATCTGCTGTGTATTGTAGATATACATTAGTTTGAGGGAAAGATACAAATTGGAAAGTCCAAAGTTGTATTGTAGATATCCCTTTTGTGAATCTTCTGTCTATTGTGAATTTCCTGTCTATTGTTGATCTGCTGTCTATTGGGGATGTCATGTTCTTTTGTGGATTTTTTATGTTTTGTGGATTCATGTCTATTGCTGATCTCTTGGCTATGGTAGTTGCTGATCTCCTGCATGCCCATTTTGGTTCTTCTGTTGGTTTTGTGGTACTTATAGGATAAACGAAGCCTTGATGACCAAAGATGTCAACTTGAGCAACAACTCATCCGAAAAGAAAAGGTTAGTGTGCCCCAAACCAGATTCATACACGACTTCATGCTGGTTGATGAGGCCTGTGAATGTCAAAACAGCTAACTACGGAGTTTCTATGTATCTGAGACTGAAAGAGATAAATTATCCAGCAAGAGATCATGTCAATCCTGAAGATGGCTATTGAAAGAAACTTCTTTTCGCCATTGAGTTTTCAAAAGGGGAAGTTATCGGACAATCTGGTTTGACCCATTGATGATATTCATAGGATTCTGTCGTGATGTACTGCTGTCTGTAGGTGGAGACTGAACTTCGCATTCGTCTCACTGGGCATCCCAGTGATGTGGAGACCACTGAAGACACAGTGTCCACGCGTGAGAAAGAAGCAATCAAGAAAGCACAGCGCATGATCGAGTCGTTGAAAGAGCAGCTACAACAGAAGGAAAATGTTCTACTGAAGTACCAATCAAGACTTGTTCAAGTTCAAGAGGTGAACTAGAGTGGATCAGTCTCTCTCCCTCCCCCCCCCCCCCCTCTCTCTTCCTCATCTCCCGCTACCCGATTTCAGTAGTTGTAGCATATGATACTTGTGCTGCAGCAGCCCTGGCTTGAACTACTAATATAATATTATTATTTTAACTAGGAGATGATGTAATTTAAGTACAGTCTGTACTAGTTGTCGTGTGACACTGAGTGTGCAAGGATATTGGTTGTTACCTGGGATGTTCTTATTTCCTGGTTTTGCTTTGCTGAAAGGAGTGTGCAGCTACTACTGATGAGCAGAAAGAGCAGATTGCCTTGTTGTCACGCAAGGTGAAATCTGGCAGTGATGATGTTTTCCAAAAGCTGAGGCAAGCAGCTGTGGTAAGTCGATATACATGCAAAACATTAATGAGAATCTGGTACCAAGATCTATGTGTTGAAGACTCTAAACAATATGGATCATAAGATGTGGAATGTCGGGGACAGGTTTATCTGGGAGGGGAGGGGGGGGGGGGGGGCTAACTTGTACACATGGATTATTGAAGCCGTCTCTGTGAACAGTGTATTTGCTGAACCTGTTCTGGGAGAGTATTCTAATCCACTCCAGGCCAGTGAACATTGCCTTTGTCTGTCTCTTATATTATTCTGCTTTTCTACATTTTCTTCTTATATCTGTACTTGTATACCCTTTGATCAAACCAAACCAAAAAGGTGTTGATAAATTTGTCAACTCTTGATAATACTGAATTGTTACCATTATGCTCTTTCTGTTTGATTCTTCCAGGAATCAACAAGAGTTGCTGACCCTCCTCTTCCAACCCAGAAACAGGTAACATGGGCCCAGTAGCAGTAGCTATTGAAGCTTTTTGACACTGACTTGCTCTGGGAATGATTGTTGTGGGGATAATGTGTATGTGTTCAGATGTACCTCTGAGATATGCTTAAGTGTACTGTATCCACGACTCCGTCTTCAATGCTTCAATGCAGATATTTTTATTTCTTGGAGAACATGCCAATTGTGCCGCCAAGAATTTTGATGTGCACACGTCTATTTAAAGTAGTATTGTTCGTATCCTGCTTTCCTGCTTCATCCATTCACCTTACAGCTGGATCGTTTGAGGGAGCTTGAGGATATTGTGTCGGAACAGGACAAGACAATAGCAGCATTACTCGCTAGATGTGATAAAGAGAAGCAAAGGCACGGGGAAGCAGAGGCATCATGGACGTTGTCCCTGAGGAACCTCAAGCAGCAAATGGAAAGGTGCTTGCTATTTTGAGCCTAGCATGATCACCTTGCCATTCACCAGATGCTGATCAAGCCCTTTTCTAAACTGGCTTTTGATCAAGCCCTTTTCTAAACTGGCTTTTGATCAAGCCCTTTTCTAAACTGGCTTTTGATCAAGCCCTTTTCTAAACTGGTTTTGTCTATGTGTATAGTACTGGTGTATGTACACACTTAGTTACAGGTCGATTCATGGTCTGAATGCGTGAACAGTGGGTTAAGTGTACTGAGCTAACACAGCAGGTCGACTGACACTTGGCCTGATGCCGTGGTGATATACAATTAAACTGACCAAAGCCACAACTACAGGACATGACCTGGACAGTCAAATCAAATAACATGGTATTGGTCTGTGTTGCTGGCACCCAGTATGCATGGGTTGGCCCAAGATACCCAGAGAACAATACTTCGATATCATCAGTTTGAGCCCTAAGTGGGAGATCATGTAGTCCCATTCCAGTCGTCCTTGGGGTAAAGTTATGTGTGCATACTAACATATGGCAGCACTGGTCTGGGAAGCCTGGGGGTCAGTAGGAATGGCAGTGTGTGGCGTAGTCAACAGATCCTGTGGAACTTCCCAGCCCGGTATCATCGAAACGCAATTTGTTTTTTTGGGTACTAAGGTATAGTGGCATCTCTTTACATGCTACAACTTCCTGAGTGACTGAACTGTTGCTGCACTTTTCCTGTTTGTTCATTTGTGTGCGAGTAGTCAACTGGATAGTATCCGTGAGGACTACCAACGAACAGAACATGCTCGGAAGGCAGTGTCTGAGGAGCTCTCTGCTGTTCAAGAACAGGTAATTGGCAAGAGAGAATACTGTCTTGTAGAAGCATTAGCATTCCTAATGTGGTGCAGAATACGGAATCATAATGGTCGATGAAAATGTCCTAGTAAAGTTTGGCCTTTCTTCTCAATACCTGGTTATAATAATTATATTCTCGTGACTGTTGAGATGATTTGTTACAGAGCAACACTGATGCTATTCACAATGTTCTTCTTTTACGCAGCTGGAAGTGACGAGAGCCGAGCTGCTAGCTGCTCAAGAGGCAGCCCAGCACGCACCTAACAGAACAATGAAAGTTCTCGTGGAGAAGTTAAAACAGCAGCTGGCTGCGAAAGAGCAACAGCATCAAGTAAGTACTGGCGTACTGTCGTGAGTGACAATGCATATTGCATAACCTTGCATCCCTTGTTTCAGAACTAACACAGCCACCCAGTGTTGATGACTCTATTAACAGTGAGGCATACAAGGCACCTCCAATATGGCACTGAGCAGTTTTGTAGGCAATGTTGGCAGGGTTCTAGCCAAAGTGTGTGGGGGGGGGGGGGGGAGGTAGCGCCCCTGCTCTGATGCTCCCCACTCTGATAACGAACCATGTTCCGGGGTTCTCCATGCGCCCACACGTTGCATTTTGTGTGACAAGGCAATAGTGAAACATGAAAAAATGTGTGAACTGTTTGTTTCCCCTGCCCCCCCCCCCCTCCCGCGCCCCTACGATTTTTCCTGGCTAGAACCCTAGCCAAGTTTCCATAATTATTTCATGTGTATTTTTGGTTGTTATACCCGCATGCTTTCTATCGTCCACATTTCCTTTGAAGGCGCTGACGCAAGCACTCGCTCAGCTAAGGTCTGATTTCACGAACATGGCGGAACAGCAGATCCAGGTAACTTACTGCTAGTTGTACTTCAAATAGTAGTACTAATCTTTTCCCGTAGTAGTTGATACTGCATGCTATTGGCAGTATCACGGCGATGCAGATGTACATGGCAAGGAAAATTGATGGAAATTTGCCATCGCACCTTGGATGTCTTTGCGTATTGATTGTTTGAGCAATGCTTATGACCAGTGTTTGTGGGTAGGGAAGCACTCCCAGCCACAGCACTCACCATATCTAACAAGATGCAAGTACCTATCCATAAAGTGACGACAATCCACTATGTGTCAGTAGAGTCGCAGGTACGAATCACGGTTCTGCATCCAAGCCACTGCCTTCATTTCACTGGATGACGCCGGTAAAAATAAAGCCGCCATCGTCTTTTTGATGTGGTAATACACTACATATTACCAAGAGTCTAATGGCGTATTTTCAAACCGCAATTTACCTTGAGGTGATGCGATATTGCATTTTCACTGGATGTTTTCCAATTTCTTTTCAGGACAAAATGGCAAGTTCGAAGGAGGAGTTGAATATCCAAAAGCTGATCAATGACCAGACTGCAAAGCTAAAGGTATAGCTGCATGTCGCATGACCCTCTCAGTTACGTCTGTGTGCACGATCTTCCTCTCTCTACATACTGCTGTGTATCATAGACATCACATGCCCGCACGCTCTGCGCATGCGCAGATTTCCCGTGCGCACAACAGAGCTTGCTGTCTTTCCAGTTTCCTTGCCTGTAGCCAGCTTTCAAATTCGAACCCACCCTCCTCATCCCATTTCTTACTCTTACACTATACTCCACATATTCTGAAACACACGGATGTGGGCACTCCTCCATAACTGGCCTATCGTGCACTGCAGGGCCAGGAGATTGGAGCGGACGACTTCACCGGTCCGAGTACGAGGATCCCGAAATTCTCTATACGCCGTGAGGCATATAGTGAGAACAGTTTTGTTTAGACAAGCTGACGCGAAGTCGGGGTGATGTGTAACGCATGTCAAAGGGCTGTCAATGCTAACAGCTGCAGCGCTCTCTCGACAGCGAAGGTAATCGACTGCCCTCTGCATCACCCCACATTTCTGGCAGGAACACCAATTGTTATTTCCTTGTCGACCAGTGAAGTCGTCCGCTCCATTTTCCTGGCCCTCATCAGGCTGCGCTTCTACCAGGGGCACCTCAGGGGGTCCTTCAGGTTCCTTAGAGTATGTCCGCAGTTGTGAAGCTTGGGAATGTCGACCAAACATCGTTCTTCATCACCAGAAAATTCAAACAACTAAGATCTTCAAATGCAGAGAATTCGAATACTAATCACACGTGACGTCATCAAAACCATCAAAAGAGGAGACAAACTTGGCCCTCCCTGGCTTCATATATCGACTTTTTGGGTCTAGTTTTCGCGATGCCCCATTCCTTGGGGGCCATATAAGTCCCCCATGAAGAGAACACACCACTGAAAAAATTCCCGGAGTGCCCCTTTAAACTCGCATGGATCATAAACCGCTCCTGCTCAACGCAGGCCGGCCCACTTGGTCATATACAGCTCCTGCCCTTGGTAGGCCGACCACACAATTCGTCACCGCTCACTCAATTGAGGCCAGCTACTCTGCCCAGCATTCCCATTACTCCGAACTCACTCTCTTGTCTCTTTTTAAAGGAGATTGTAGAAAGCAGTTGGGTGGGCACACCCATTCCCAAAGTACTGCAAAGGACCGAACCGATTCTTAAATGAAACCATAAAGGACATTGATCTAGTATCACACTCATTTATAACTGATCGGTTTCCAGTTTGAAGTAAACACACAATTGATACGAGTGCAAATTGTGCTTGTAATAGATGTAAACTGGTCAAAATTCGTTCGAGAGAGGATGCACTAGGTATGCGGAGCAGTGCAACTAAACACTGAGGAACGCCATACTCTGTGCTCTCACTTGATTGGATCATGTGGATTCCACTAGATCCAATGTATTGCCTGACCATGACCATGTCTTTGTTGGTCTAAATCCAACTGCCTGGATTCACTTTCCTGTCACAGATCAACAGCAATTCCCTGCTTTGTAAGCGCCGTGAAATGAGGGCGAGTTACTCAGCCAATGAGCTGGTTATTATGAAATCACTGCTAAGAAAAGATCATGATTGTTTCACTCGTAATCGGAAGTGCAGTCAACTTCATGGGTAGTTTGATTGCAGGGGATTGTTTTCGTATTCAGTAAAACATCTCCTCTTCAGCGGTAGCATTCCCAACAAGTATCATAATTCAGAGCTGCTGCTCTAATATACAGTTTTGCGTTGTTGATGACTGCTTTCTGCTGGCAGACACACATCGATGACCTGCAAGCCAAACTAGATCATCTATCATCCCAAAGTGAGAAACACTCTAAGCAAGAACTCCTATTCAAAGAGAAGATTGCAGCACTGCAGGAAGTATGTCATTGTGATAGTTACACGTTGCTTAATCCCCCCCCCCCTCTCCATCTCTCTCTCTCTCTGTCTCTCTCTCTATCTGTCTCTCTCTCTCTCTCCCCTCTCTCTCTCTCTCTCTCTCTCTCTCTCTCTCTCTCTCTCTCTCTCTCTCTCTCTCTCTCTCTCTTTCCTCAACCTTTTTTCCATCTTGATGTGCAGAGAATATAGCAAAAAGGATGTTAGTTTGCAGTTCACTGTTGGAGAGCGTTTCAGGTAGAATAGGATCAGTTGGGTCATGGTGTGTAATGTTCAGTCCGTCCCATGAACGTGTAACGCGCACAAACCCTGCAAGAGGGTTAGACTGTATTGTGTTTGTTGCACACGACAACAAAAGCAGTAGCAGCACCACCACCACCATTCCCGCCGCCGCCACCGCCTACGCCGCCGACGGCGATGGCTACAGCGGCGATGGTGATGACGACAACAATAACAAACACCAAAAAGAAGACAGCAGAACCTAATTTGTACCGTATATGGTAACGAGATGGCCCTGGGGTGATCTTGCATGCATGGAATGTGAAGCTAAGCAAAGCGACGCATCCGTAATTTTCACTATCGTAGCCATCTTAGCTATCTTCACTATCTTAGCCATTCTACACTATCTGCCTTCACTGATGAGAGTATATACTCGAAACAGTTGTATGAAGGAATTTTTTTATCAACGGATGTGTCGCTTCGCTGATGCTGTGCTGTGGCAACATTTCGAGGTCGGCTGGAGAGCACAGTTGGGGTGTAGTGGTGGATGAAAGATCTGAAGGATTACTGCTTTTGGCCTAAAAATTGTAATTATTGGGATGTCATGGCCTGGTACTTTGCTACTTCCTGCTACTAAGCATTCACTTTGCCAACTTCCATATCCATTGACTGATTTTACTTGTTTCCTTGACCAGACCCTGCACCAGAAAGAGATTGCCCTTGGCCGACAAGACAAGTCTTTGCAGAGCCTGAGAAAGGAGAAGGAGCGATGGCTAGGAAGAGAGAAGGAATTGCTCAGTTCGCAAGCAAGCAAGGTAATTATATTGCTACAATTACCGGGTGTTAGCGGCCGTCGTGAGTTTCCTTCGGGAACGGACACGATAATTAACTTTTTATTCCCGTAGCTATGCAGAAGACGTCTGGCGCTAGCCAGGGTCCACACAGCTTTAATTTGGTATTTGTTTGTTTGTGTGTTTGTTTGTTTGTGTCACGCCTGGCGCTATCCCGTATCTGACGGCAAAAAATCATAGGGATGTTATAATTTTTTCAATTCTCCTATTTTTTCAGGCATATCCTGGGATTCGAACCCGCACTATCGCCCTACATGCATTCCCCCCTACACTTCGCATTCATACCCATTCTTCCAAGTTGCTTCACGTTATGATCTTGCGTTTGAAAGCCCTATTTGAATATTGCGGGCAGCTGTATGTGGCCAGCTGTGTTTGATGGTACGGTACGGGAGACGGTGTCGTATTACCCTCGATCGTACCTGTCCCGTACCTATCCCTACCGTACCGTACCATCAAAGACGGCTGGCCACAATGCATATTCAAATAGGGCTTTAAAATGCAAGATCATAATGTGAAGCAACTTGGAAGAATTAGTATGTATGCGAAGTGTATCGGGGGATGCATGCAGGGCGCGATAGTGCGGGTTCGAATCCCAGGTTATGTCTTTAAAAAAAAGGAATTTTTTAAAGAATTTATAACATCCCTATGCTTTTTTTTGTCTAGGTCATCAAGGCAAAAAAGCATAGCGTAGGGCCCTGAGCTTCCAAGCTCTCTCGTTTAATGTACAAGGTGTGTGTGTTACTCTGTTGAATTTCAAGGTCTTTTATTCTCCAGCACACAAATCTGTTGATCCCCGAGCTCCAGCACACACATAATTTATGTGGGGCACGTAGATTCAACATTTTGCCCCAGGTTTGAAAATCTACGATGATCGGACCGGAAAGAGTCTTTGGGCACGTAACCGAAGAACTGGAAGTTGCAATGAATACTGTCCGTGTACTCAACAATGGTATACATCCCAGGGAACGCTAGAATGAGAAGAATTGTGTGGAGCAGGGCTGTAGCACTGCCATTTCAGGTACTCCGGCCAAATGGGATACTTGACCGGAAGTGAACATGATTTTGCATGGATTGGATCGGTCAACGTTTTCGAAATAGGGACAGGCCATGGGTGTACTGGCCTGACCGGCAGCTATGACCCTGTGTAGACCGGGTGCTATGGCCCCCTGTGTAGTCCGGGTGCTATGGCCCTGTGTAGTCCGGGTGCTATGGCCCTATGTAGTCCAGGTGCTATGGCCCATGTGTAGTCCGGGTGCTATGGCCTTGTGTAGGGGGAGCAATGGGCAGGGGAGAACGACAACAGACTACACGACTGACACTGAGGAGGAGGGAAACTAGCACACTACCACGCCTCCCATGCATGAAGGTTTCGGAATAGTGGCTATCAGCAGATGGCAGGCTAGATTGCCACTGTCAATTGAAAGATGTACACCTAATCCTAATGTTATGTACCTGCTAATAATTCTCTTTGGCAACCGCAGGACAATCGTCTTTACTATGTTTGTGTATGTGTACGAGGCCTGCACAACAATTCTGGATGTGTAATCCGACACTTCTAGACTACGTATCATATCTGGCAGACTGTAGTTCCATTTTTCATGACATTGTGTTTTTTGTTCTGTGTGTGTATATGTATGTGTGTGTGTATGTACTGTCGTGGACATGGAAATCCGGTCGCACGTCTAGCGGCCACAGGGCGCTGGCCATGCAGCCGTAGCATGTATGCGCTGCTAGCTGCTGGTCGCATAGGCGCTAGGCCAGGATCCACATGATTGTGCACTGCATGCAACGATTTACGTTCTGTACGCGCTGAGGGCGCCGGCCCCGGTCAATCGACTGGATTTCCATGTCCGCGACAGTATATGTGTGTATGTGTGTGTGTGTATGTATGTATGTGTATGTGCGTGCGTGTGCGCGTGCGTGTGTGTGTGCGTGTGCGCATGTACATGGTACATGGTGTGTGTGTGTGTGTGTGTGTGTGTGTGTGTGTGTGTGTGTGTGTGTGTGTGTGTGTGTGTGTGTGTGTGTGTGTGTGTGTGTGCGCATGCATGCGTGCACCCATATGCATGCATGTGCATGTATATAAACACGAGGATATGTGTATGTGTGTGTGTGTGTGTGTGTGTGTGTGTGTGTGTGTGTGTGTGTGTATGTGTGTGTGCATGCCCGTGTGTGTGCGTGCTGGTACCATATGTATGTGTGACTTATGTGGTGTGTGGTGTATGCATTCTAGCCTGTAAGAAGACCAGATGCAAGCTCTTCAAGAAGGTCCAGAAACTGACAACATACATTGACGATGTTGATCCTTTCAAACAATACTCACGTATGATGCTATGCTGCACCATACTGATGCAGTCCCATTCAGTTCCAGTATTCATAGCCACCCGCACAACTATCAGTTTACACTTGATTGTCAATCAGAAGGGCAAGCTGGCAACAGTGGCAACAACCATGCAGAGCTTGTCCTCATGATACATCAAGTTTTTCAGTCCGCCTGAGGTCTGCTCCCGTTTATGCTGCTGTCTGTCTGTCACTCTCTGAGCTCACTAAGCGTCACAGTGTTGTTCGACAAGTGTGTCGAATACTGATGCCTATGGTCCTAGGCTAGGGTACGTTCGGTTTCAACTGTCCCGTTCTAATGCCTGCACTTTTCATGGCATAACTTACTTGTTGCTGCACCTTGAACTTGAGTCCAATGAGCTGATTTTCTCACTGACCAAGCCTGTGTATTTTATTGACCTCATACCCAGCCTCACAGAATACCGGGTGCCGCATTGTGTGGGTACCCAACTGATTGGATGATATGATCCAACCTTGGTCAAAATCGGCCCACTACACAGTTGTCTCTCCACTGTGGCTCACATGGCCCAGCCTGAACGAGCGGCGACATATTTTTGCTATGTTGTTGGTTGTTGTGACTCGACGGTTCGCGGTTTTAGAGCGAATATGCTAGCGTAGGCAGCAGTTACTGCCAAGACAAAACTTCACAACAACTGACTTTGCACAACTTCCCATGGACCATTGACTGATGATTGTTCCCTCAGTTTAGTCATTGAATTTTCGGGAACTTCGGTTCAATGCTTGTGTAAGGTAACCTTGCTTTTCTAAGCACTTCCTCGACATACCGGTATGCTATGATGATAATATTTCAGGTTCGTCCATTGCTGTATCAAGCAGCTACGTAGTAAAATATGGTCACCGACTGGGTCCAGCAGATTCGTCGTCTGGCTGATTTTTCATCGCCTCAACCTCAAGCAACCTACAGTGCCGCTTTGTTCAGGGACTACAGCCGCGGTGGTCTTTTCTCTCTCTCGAACCCTTGGGGATGCCCCTGCGCTGTTTGGTCGTCCGGCGCCCCGAGATGTTTTGATGCATAGTGATTATCACGCTCCTCGTTCGCTCCCTTGTCACTGGACAGTTCTGTCCGTTTGGTTTTAGCGAATTCAAATGATGAAAACAACAACAACAACAACAACAACAAAACCGAGTCACCGAGCACCAATGGCAATAATAATATTATACAATAATGACTGAGCCTACTTTTTTGTAAGTGTGCTTACTTCCCGTTGAAGCGCAACGAGATCAGACAACAGACCATAATCATGATAATACGGAGGATTAGCAAGACGAAATTCGCGTTCGCGTTCGCAAACATTTTTCAGTTCACGAACTGGATTGCGAACTTTCGCATTTTTCGTTCGGAAAAGTAGTCGGAACACGAATCGCGGATTCGTGTCAGGGCAGTCATAAATTTACCACGCTGTACTGTCTGTACACAATGTACGTCGTGTCAACGGCATGCATGTGCGAATTCTGTTTGCTAATCCTTCTCATAACGCGAATTCCGCCACGGAGTTCGACTTTCCGTCGAGTGCGAACGCGAACGCGAATTTCGTCTTGCTAATCCTCCGTAGTGATCGTGATTCGTGACCATGTACTAATGATGATTATACATGTACATGTACAGTCATGTACAATGTAGTGTTTGGTTGATCGGTTGACAATGATTATGTTACAAGCCGGAGGAAGCACTGTGTTGAAAACCGGTTAAACTGCTGCACTGAGCCAGGAACACTGGTTTCGATACAGTGTGTCCTCAGGCTGGTAAGATACTATCCGCTGGTAAAAAAAACCCAAATATTGAATACAGTGCTTCTCTATTTTGAATCTCCCGGCTCCCTCACAATTCCTACCCCACTGCCAAAATTGGCCAAATCACTGGATGGTAGCAATTCGCGAACAGCCGGATGTGTGTCACGTGAACTGGCACACTGGCTCTATGCTCTCTCTCTCTCTCTCTCTCTCTCTCTCTCTCTCTCTCTCTCTCTCTCTCTCTCTCTCTCTCTCTCTCTCTCTCTCTCTCTCTCTCTCTCTCTCTCTCTCTCTCTCTCTCTCTCTCTCTCTCTCTCTCTCTCTCTCTCTCTCTCTATCTATCTATCTCTCTCTCTCTCTCTCTCTCTCTCTCTCTCTCTCTCTCTCTCTCTCTCCGTCTCTCTCTCTCTCTCTCTCTCTCTCTCTCTCTCTCTCTCTCCGAGGCTCTCTCTCTCCGTCTCTCTCTCTCTCTCTCTCTCTCTCTCTCTCTCTCCCCGAGGCTCTCTCTCTCCGGCGTCTCTCTCTTTCGGTCCCTGTGGGTGCGCCGGCTGGCTGTAGTTTTTTTTCCGGTACTACTCGTAGTAGTCGAGGCCTCTTGTACTGGCAAAATATGTTACCGTGGCGGAGGACATGCTGCAATGAATTCATTTCACATTGTACTTACCTGTTGCCATGGTTGCTGGGTTATGTTATTGAAACTTACTTGTAATTGTCTCAATGTTTTACATTTCAAGTGCCACAGCGTGCACTTTGCACCTTCAAAATACATGTACAATCCATTATGATACGCATATCAATTTTTTGTTAGGTCTGGATAAGAAGAACTCCTGCAGGCCTTATAAACTTTGTTCGGTGACTTGAAAAAAAAGAAGAAAACTTGATGAAAATGGTTCGCATTGTATATGCCGCTGGCTATGACATGATGAGGTTTGACAGTCTGTATGATAGAACCAGGGAGTAGTACTACTCCCTGGATAGAACAACCCGAGATGCTGGCCTAACGGTTTTTTTTTTGAAACCAGAGCCTGGCACATGCAGAGGTCTGGACTTTTGTTTTGAAACGCGCTAGCTGCACTACACCATTGTACACGTAGACCCGGGTGCTCGAATGAGACACGAATGAGACACGGGGTACCGGGTACCAAAACAGAAACAGCTTGAAATTGTACCTAACTTATTCCGATTTCGTTTAGTTTTCACAAATACCATCAACATACGGCCCGCTAACGGTATGCCAAATTTCAGCTCTGCCCGGGAAGCGGTTTTTGAAATACGAGTACGACTCGCGACCCACTTTTTGTTGGGTCCTTGATTCGAGGATGGGTCTACGGTACAGTACTGTGCTGCCAAAGACCTGCTGAATCTGCGGCTCCGCTGAGGCGCTGACCATCTAGCCTTCTAACTCTAAGGGGGTGATTATATGTGCAGCTCCAGCCCGGGCTGGTCGACAGGCGGGCCAGCCCGCCTGCAAGCGGGATCTCGGCCTTGTACACAAATCCACACAAAACCTGTTGTGCGTTTACATGTGAAGCGGGCTGGCCCGGCGAGGCGGGATCCCGCCCCGAGGCACCCGGGATCCCGGCTAGGCGGGCCAGAAAAAGCACATATAAACAGACTAGCCCGGGCCACTTTTCAGAGGAGTTGTAATAATATTATATATTGGTGTCGACACTGCATTCATACTACAAAATAAATAGTTTTACCTTTAATAGTGGTCGGATGCGGATAATAGTTTCTAAACGAAGGTAAGTACATGTACATTGTTCGCAAGTATCCACACAACCACGCACATCCAGTCAAAAAAGACAGTTGTCATAAAGTTTTCGACCGTTCTCGTTCCTTTCTCATCAACGATCATTCAGGGAATGGCTCAAGTTGGAAAAACTAAAAAAGTATACATGTACATGTATAGCGTAAAGACAATGGGAAGTTATGAAGATGTTTGTCGGCCATTTCTCAAATTTAATGTTACAGACATAGCGATTAAACAGAACCCCGAGGCAAACAAAGGAACCTGAATATAAACTCAAGAAAAACAACATAATAACAAAGAACGATAATAGATCATTATATTAGTGATAAGACCTATTATTAGCGATGTTGACTGTATTTGGAAACTTCTGTAATGATCTACAGAAAGGAAATCGTGAACACATTTAAAAACAGAATGTTGTATAGGAACAAGTACAGGTACAACCATGTAAATAAGGAGTGAACTAATCACTGGTGGCTAGAATCACTCGTGAGATTACGAAACTGTTGTGGGCCATCCAGGCCTGGTGGATTCCACTGGGCCATGCCTGGAGCTGGAGGCTGAGACGGTGATGCATATGACTGAGCATTATTGCCGTACATCTGATAGGTTGGCATGGGTGCTGGCTGCGGCTGCTGTTGCATCATGGCATGCGCTAGCATCTCCATGGATTTTGTCATCCCTTGCGCTAGCGTACTCATTGTCGTCTGCATCCCTGTCATGGCAGCTTGAAAGGATGCAGACGACTCCTTGATGGCCTCTGCCATAGCCTTCTTTGTTTCTCGGTCCTCCTTCGCCTCTTCTATCAGAAGTTGGTCCCTTTTGGATGCTGACAACTGCTTCTCCAAGTGTTTTCTCTTGTTGTCTACCAGCCGAGGTATCTGATTTGGCATGTCAGCAGGCAGTTGACTAAAACGATCCTTGCTGCCAACTAATACTTCATTGTCTGACTGGCATCCATCAACGACATCTAGGGTATCTGGTGGACCACTTTGATGAGTCTCAGCTTGCGCCTCGGAACTGTCATCTGGCGGGAGCAAACTGTCGGTATCCACGCCCGATGCTAGAGGCTCGGTGCACGGAGATCCCGCGTATATCTCCTTCAGCACGTCGTAATGCTCGAACACTATCTTGCCACTCCCGCTGCGACTGCCACTGGTAACGGCGTTGCTGAAAGACTGCCGGATTTCTTTGATCTTCTCTTGGACACGACAGTATCCCTTCTTGATGAGGTCCGTGTCCTTCTTTATCTGCGCTTTGGCTTCAGCTATGACACTAGTCTCTGCGGGCAAATCAGGAAGGGTAGCGCACGAGATCGGACCGAACAGCTCTCCATTGCTCTTATGAATTTTGGCAAGGTGCTGCCGAACAGTTTCGTATTGCACTGGTTTGTCGCCGTTGAAATCGAGCTGCTTCAACTCCATGGTGCTCTTATATGCACGCAAACATCCGATGAGGTCTTCGACAAGGTCAGGAGACCAGCGAAAAACCTTCCTCTTCCTCTTCGTAGCGCCATAGGTATCGTCGTATTCAGCCATGACTACAGAAGTACACTTAAAGGAAAACCGTAACCCGTTGAGGTGGTCCTACAGCCGTTGAATGTAATCTTCTGCCTCATTGACATCAGTTATATACCTCATCACAAAGTACATGATTGTATGTCTTCTCCGCCTATTTCCGGCCAGGGATATGGAGAAGCATAATTATGGTAAGGCCCAAAGGGATATACAGCTCACATAATGTTTCTGAAAGTCCATATTGGGAACTACTGGAAGAAGGCGCTAAATTCTTTCCGCCATAAACCTCATCACAAAGTGTCTCTGCCCCTCGTATTTCCGTCGAGAAGTGGAATGTTAAGGTGTATATGGCTCATACATGAACATGAAAGTCCAAATTGGGAAGTGCTAGAAGAAGGCGCTGAATTCTACCCACCATAAACCTCATCACAAAGTGTCTCTGCCCCTCGTATTTCCGTCGAGAAGTGGAATGTTAAGGTGTATATGCCTCATACATGAACATGAAAGTCCAAATTGGGAAGTGCTAGAAGAAGGCGCTGAATTCTACCCGCGATAAACCTCATCACAAAGTGCCTCGGCCCCTCATAATTCCGCCGAGAAGTGGAATGTTAAGGTGTATATGCATCATACATAACCATGAAAGTCCTAATTGGGAAGTGCTAAAAGAAGGCACTGAATTCTACCCGCCATAAACCTCATCACAAAGTGTCTCTGTCCCTCATATTTCCGTCGAGAAGTGGAATGTTAAGGTGTATATGCATCATACATGAACATGAAAGTCCTAATTGGGAAGTGCTAAAAGAAGGCACTGAATTCTACCCGCCATAAACCTCATCACAAAGTATCTCTGCCCCTCATATTTCCATCGAGAAGTGAAATGTTAAGGTGTATATGCCTCATACATGAACATGATAGTTCTAATTGGGAAGTGCTAGAAGAAGGCGCTGAATTCTACCCGCCAAAAACCTCATCACAAAGTGTCTCTCCCCTTATATTTCCGCCGAGAAGTGGAATGTTTTAAAAGGTGTATATGCCTCATACATGAACATGAAAGTCCAAATTGGGAAGTGTTAACAGAAGGCACTGAATTCCGCCCACCATAAACCTCATCACAAAGTGTCTCTGCCCCTCATATTTCCGTCGAGAAGTAGAATGTTAAGGTGTATAATCTTCATACTGTACTCGTAAATGAAAGTCCAAATTGGGAAGTACTAGATGAAGGCGCCGAGGTATGTTCTGAACTAAAACGCTGAATCCTCTACGCCACAGTGCCGAATGCCTCACCACAAAGTAGCTCAGCGAGAAACGTTTATATCTTAAAGTGCATGATGTGCATGTACATTGTTCATGTGTTCGCTTTTACATAACCTTAAATTTGGTATCTCCTCCGTCACTGTTGCAAAGTAGAATCGTCTTCAATCATGAATGTGGCGGCAGTGAAGGTCGCTTTATTTCAGTTGGTGACAATGGTATTGCTGTTTGTTGTTGTTGTTGTTGTTTATTTTACTTCGCAGATTCTAACGGGTAAGTTGCCCAATAACAAGAAAGCGAAGGCAAAGAAAATAATACTAATAAAAGAAATAACCGGGGGCAGCAGAAAATGAATAATAGCTTTAAGAACTCAGATGGTGAGCCAAGGAACAAAAAAAACTGTTTGAGACTATCCAGGCTCAAATACTAATAATGATCATTCTTTTCCGCATCCACTTGTGCCAAATTGAGAGCATGACAACCGTCAACTCAAGCTTGCGAAAATCCAGAGCTATGCTGAAGTTGTCCACGACTGTGGAGAGACGACAGAGAAGAGCTGAGCGAAGTTGCTGGTTCGAGGGCGGTCGCTCCGACGACTTCTGGAAAAATTTATCCAGTGGGAAACTGTCTGCAGGTGAGTGCTGTCTGGTAATTGCACAATGTCCAAGAAACCTAACGTGTTGTATTTATTTGGACGGAGAGTCAAGGATTATAATTAAAAATAAGGGGGCCATAAGTTTACCAGTTATCCGTTTTGTCCAACACTAACGATTTTAGTGGTAATTGATGCACATTCTGACTCACCATTATCCTGCATATAAATCGTTAGTATTCTCTTTTACTCCGACCCAGCAGCAGCAGTGTTGATCGTGAACTGTTCCGTTTTCTTTGCTGCAGGTGAATGGAAGAAGAACTTCCGCATGGACGAGCAATCATTCAATGAATTGGTTCAAGAACTGGAACCCTACATCTCTCCCTTGTCTGCATCACCGAATTATAGAAAACTGTCAGCTGATGTCAAGCTTGCCATCACTCTGTACTACCTCGCAGATACGGGGTCGTTCAAGCAAACCGCCAACACCTTTGGTGTTTCTCGTCCAACGCTCTCGGTAGTGCTTAACGACGTCTGCAGAGCAATTGTTGTCCACCTCGGACCAAAATTAATCAGACTTCCCTCATCCCTGGAAGACATGAACCGCAAAGTTGCAGAGTTTGAGGCTTTCAGTGGCATGAAACAAGCGTTTGGTTGCATCGACGGCACTCATATTCCTATTTTACGACCCAGAGATAATGCGCAAGACTACTTCTGTTATAAACAGTTCTTCTCCCTTAACGTCCAAGCTGTGTGCGATACCCGAGGGCGTTTCATGGATGTAGACTGCCGTTGGCCTGGTTCTGTACACGACAGCAAAGTGTTCGCCAACTCCTGCATTGGCCATAAGTTAAGAAACGGCATGCTGCCTGGCCAAGCAAAGAGAATTGTAGATACACGACCCACCGTTACTCCATACATCATTGGGGATCCAGCCTATCCACTCACACCATATTGCATTAGGGAGTACACCTCGTGCCAGAACAATGAACAAGTTCTCTTTAACACCATGCTTCGTGCTGCTCGCAACCCCGTAGAATGTGCTTTTGGCAGACTGAAGGCTCGGTGGCAAATACTCACACGGAGGGTCAATGTGAATATGAACTTTGCTCCAAATCTGATTTACTCATGTTTTGTGTTGCATAATTTTTGTGAATCCCGCAATTGTTGCCATATTGATCAAGAGGCTGTTGAAGCGCAGTTGAGGCATAACCTTATCGAGGATACCCTAGCCCCTAGGAATGCAGACCCAGTCTACTCGGCAGAGACAGGCGAAGGGTAGACAGCAAGAGAAGTTCTGTGCGAATATTTGTCGTTGCAAAGGACACCCAGCTGCTAGTGCTCTGGACCATCCTCTGGCCATTCTTTGGGCTCTTTTGCTCTTTTCCGCGTTTCCCATTGATTGAGTTGTTTTCATCTGCCTTCTTTTACTTGTGTTTCGTTGGGTTGAGTTGCGTCTTCTATCCCTTTCTCACGATAATGTTCTCACAACAAATTTCCCACAACAACAATAATATTATCAAAATTGCTTCAGCCCGGATGCACGTCTGGTGCAGAAAACTAGTCTGTTGAACTCATGTAAACTCGCACCGGGCTGACGGCCAGCCCGACTGTGCACATGTAAACACCTTTGGCGGGCTGGCCCGCTCGCTCCAGCCCGGATGTACTCACAACGGGCTGGCGTGTGCTCAGTGCATATAAACTCACTGCGGGCTGGCGACCAGCCCGGCCGTGCACATGTAAACACCCTGGGCGGGCTGGCCCGCTCGCTCCAGCCCGGGCTGGAGTTGCACATAATAGTTCTATAGATCTAGGCAACTAACGTTACTTGCTCTCAAAAACGAAGTAGTAAGTTAAGTACTCCATGCCCTCAACTGCCATAACAAGCGTAGACGATGGTAGACCCGTACGTTTGAATCGGAGACGATCTGACGAGTTCGCTGTTTCTGATTCGAGCACCCAATTATTTTCAAATAAAAAATCCGAAGGAAATACGACAATTTTACTGCGTACTGTAGGCTGTGTTGTAGCGCACCCAGGTCCTGAATTCCTGCTGGGTGGGCCAAGCCAGACTCTCTTCCCTGTTCCATCGCCTCTCCAAAAGTATATTCTGACAATAGAGAGGTTTTGCATTCCGAATTTCGGAATGATTTTCGACTGTGCTTTTCCGAAAAAAGCGCGTTCCGAAAAACGGTATTTTCAGTGTTTTGCATTCCGAAAATCTGATTCGACTTCGTTTCCAAGGGTTGCCATGCAAAACAAAATGGAGAGCGTCGAAGGGGTTGAGCAGGATCAAATCCATGTGCGCAGGTCAAACTGAATTTGGGTGCGGTTCGAAGACGAGGACGGACTGATGGTGGACCAAGTGATCCAACAGCTGAAGACGAGGTTGGCGAACTACTGTCTTGTACTGTTAGTAGGCTCCAGGGCAAAGGAAGATAGAGTGTGATGAAGTGTGAGAAGATTAGTCAACATGGCGAGATCAGCGAGAGCAGCAAAACCAGCAAAAATCAAAACTACAGTACATACGTGGAAATTTTTTCAAATAATCGAGAGCAGCAGAAAGCAAAAATACAAACATGAAAAATACACTTTTTTGTATTCAAATACATGTATGCACTCCCAAACATGAAAGAGCCGAAAATCTATTTTCGGAAAACCATGCACTTTCGCCACCACACTTCCGAAAGTTCGACTACTTTTTCGACTCCTGCCGCCACATTCCGAAAATAATTCCGAAATTCGGAATGCAAAACCTCTCTATTGTTGAGATTTACAGATGAGAAATTTTACACCTGTCAAATCGTTTCTGATTCGAGCACCCGGGTCTACACCAGGGAGTAGTAAAATACTACTCCCTGGTCTACACCTACCTGCCAAGTGCCAGTGCATCCCGAGAATGAAAATCTGAAAAATTGGGTATAAATTTAAAAATCCATCAAATTTAGCTCAGATTTTGGAGCAATCTTTTGCTAGTACGTGTCGATACATAAATTTTTTTAGTTCGTCCACTTCTTTGTTGTACTTGTCTTGAGAAGTAACGTTGAGAACTGCTTTGGCTTCGATGAGTGCAGTACGTCTGCTCAAAGTAATTAGTTGTTGACTTTTGGGAGTTGCTCTTCTTCTCAACTCTGACTTGTCGGAGCCCTCGTGGGATTTATGTACAAGTAATGCTGTGACAATGGAATAACGTTCCCTCCAGAGCAGATAATCCTGTGGCGTGCGATATTGAATCCGTGTGGCATTACTGCCGTACTGGTGAAGTCCTTGTGGAGTTTATCAAGATGTCTGCACAGGACCAGATGAAGAAGATGCTCGATGAGCTGATGGGATCAAACAGGAATGGTGAGTGAATATTCAGGTCCTGAGGCTAAAATTCACCAGCACCAATACTTTTTTTTTAGATTTTTATCATTATTTTGGTGTTGATGATCATACTCGTTACTGAAAAATAGCATCGGTTGTGTATCTTCGCTGATCGATTCGGTTTCTTCATGTATACTCTCCAACGAATTGACACGGCTTTTAATCCATTGAGGTCTGACTTTGTCAGTTCTTAGTGTAGTGCCTATGGCGAAAGGGAAATAAGGGGAAAATAGTGAAGGTATTAATTTATTCCAGGATGTAGCTTTAACTACGGGTGGAGAGTGGAGCATTTGAGTAAGTTACGGAGGATGTTGTAACTGTTACGTGCCATCTTGCAGAAGTGCTAGAGAAGTTGATTGGCCAGTACTGGTGTATTATTGATTGCCACGAGGACACATACCACTGAGTCAGTGTTGCTTGATACGCCTTCTCATCTGACTGATAATGAGGACTATGACTATCGGGTACGTATTGAAGAGCTACTGATTGTACGTAGCACGTGAGTACTTCCTCTCGCTGCTCACTGAACGTCCTCCTTGCCAGGCAAACTCGCACTGCCTAGCGCTAAAAATCTGCCAGACTGTGGATGGCGGAAAAGATTCCATGTATTTTTTTCTAACAGATTATAAATTTGTTAGCTTGGCATCTTAGTAGTAGCTAAGTGCACTAAAACTTTAGTAGAATGTGCCCCAAAGAGACTAAAGGGGTCTGTGCTTAAAGCCTAGTTCTCATTCAACGGGGCACGGCGAGACACGGCGTAAGGAGCGACAGGAACAGACAAGATTCTCGTGACGCCAATTGACCAATATGAACGTCAAGAAAGGCTGTGCAACCATACTACCCTATGAATCGGGAAGCGATAGCGGGAGAGTTGAATCTGTTCAGCTTCTTGTACTGTATGCGGGGGCGCAAGCGTACAAAACAGCCGCATTTCGAGTGTGACCTGGAGACGGCATCGTGCGCCGATGACCGCAACTACGACTTAGCAAATGTCAGCACTTCGAACACTGTGCTATTCATGTCATTGAATGGCTTGCCAACTAGATCTCATGTTACTTACTGTACTTGGAGATAGTCCTGGAATGCATCAGACGAGCTGTTTTATCCTTCCTTCTGGTTATTTTTAGAATTCCACAAAATCCGGACTATTTTTTTTGGTCTTCATGACAAACTGGTATTATGGGGGTGATTCCGTTCCACTTGAGGAGAAAAATGGAAAAGAAGTCCCAAAGAACAAGATATTTCGGCCGAAAGTCAACCCGTCTCAGGCCATGACTCGAGCCGATCGTAGTTGACCATTGCAATAGCTACTTTATGTCGTGTAGTATAAATCGTACCAGGTTACAGCTCACATTAGCCTTCCCGGTAGCCTCTTACATCCCGTACCGGCAGAGTTACGTTGAATGCGAACTAGGCTGAATTGCTGAGATCTCTTTGTCCGAGGCCAAATAACTGGGAAAGAATGTGCAAGATGCTCAAAAAAGTACTTTATTTGAATTTTCAAAAAAGTACTTTATTTGAATTTGCTGCCAAGAGAAAGGTATGCTATATCCAGTGAATGCGTTTGATTGCGCACTTGAATCGATTCATGAATGGAATCTCGCCATTCGATTTCTTGTCATGAGCTCTGGAATCGATTCAGAATCCATTCACCCTATTCACATGGGGTGATGTGAATAGCGCGAATCGGCATAATCGAACGCACTCAATGTGCCTTATACTAAACTGTTTGACTGCATTGTGTATCAAGCTCTACCACCTTGGTAACTTCCAGTAGCCACAATTTCACATATAAAGAAACACCTCCATCTGGCGTTTGATGCTTTGTGCATGCGTTGGGTGACGAACTCCTTCCAAAATGTCTAATTTTCAACTCTATGTGAAAGAGACGAGGGAAAGCATGATTGGCCATGTACCCTGTGTAGAGCAATTGTCATGATCATTGCCATGGTCTATGCCACCCATCATGCAAGCACTGAAGCGGAAGAAAGTGAGTTCCTTTTGTTGTTGATTGAATGCTACTTTCCGGAGTCATACTTTATTGCATAGGGGTTGATCATTTGCTTCAATAGTACATGTCCTATATATTTTCCCTGGGCGAATCAACCTTTTTGAAAGAAATTTTATTGAAAAGTTGGTTTACTTTTAACCAAGGGGTAATAGGGGTAATAGGGGTAATATCCTCTTTTGTTGGAATTACCACAAGTATAAAAATCTGGCCTTTATCATGCGGCGGGGAAGTATACTAAGCCTTAATAAACTTATATCTGGGAAGGTTTGGTGCCTGGAATGTGTGTGGATGAACGATTACTCAGTCTTAAGCCATGCACTAGCGATGGTGGTGATGGCGGTGATGGTAGTACATGACATGATCAGCTAGAGCCGTATAGTGATGTGCTGTAAGTCACACTTCGGCTAGTGTCTTGCTGCCCTGACTTGCCTGATTTACTGCGGGTGCTATCGACAATGAAAAGGATTGGTGAGACGACTCTCTCGTTTAATGTCGATCATGTTACAGAGTTGGTGAGTGTCGACTATAACTGGTTGTATACATGCATTGTCTGTGTCAGCTTCTTCAGCTAAACGTAGATGTCAGTTTAGTGTGTTAGTTTCTTTGTTTTATGTTCTTCATTTTAAATATGGGAGTGAAACAAACCTGCTCAGCCTGCGACATTGGTCGATTTTGTTGTGAAGTGATTGAGAAAGCACACCTACACACAGGGAAGACATGTAATGACACATATCAGGGTAATTTTTTACCCGCATTGGATGGTTGGTTTATTCCATTGAATCTGCTCACGTCTAGTCGAAGATTGGTGTGTCGGTGACAAGATTGCCTTCAAGTGGAAGCAGGCTTGTGTTTGTTTCACCCTCATTGATAGTGCTACTGGTGCCTTGGCACTGTCACTATTGGCAGTACTGCCTTTGCTGGCAAACTCACCATATACGTATTGGTGTATTGCCATCTACCGAATGGTTGTGAGTGGGATGACACTCTGTTTGGTCTGGCAAGACAGTTCTGACTTCTGTATGACGGGACAGTAAGTTCCCTGAAGAAGTACTTGTATGTGCAATCCTGGTGCCATTGCCTTTGGCCAGAATGGTTACGTGGTTTTATTTGCAAGCAGTAATGTCATGATTAGAGTAGCATGTACTTGTATATGCAGTGCGTTAGGCTTGTTCTGGTAGTTCCGGTGTTCTCTGTTATGACTTCTCTGATCCAGCTTGTTTTGTCTTCCTTTATCATTGTTACTACAGGTGACATATGTGAAGAAGAAATCCATTTCACAGACTCCCGGATATGTAAGGCGTTTTTGTTTGGTGCCTGTCCCAATGAACTCTTCACTAATACGGTGAGTGGATGTACAGTGAAGATGAGTGAAACGCAACCCCTACATTGTTATCTCCTGCATTTCCATGGACGTACAGTGAAGATGAGTGAAACGCAACCCCCACATTGTTATCTCCTGCATGTCCGTATCTACTATTTGCGTAGATAGTTCACCACATGAGAACTTCATGACTCCGCATGCAACTGTTTCAATGTAGCAAAGCTGTAAAATTGCTTGCACATGCAACACCTGCCTTCTTATGGTATGTTCGTAGAAGCACATCGTAATGGAATGTATATACATTTTACAAGTTACACGGGTATAACGAAGCTATATTCCAGAATAGCAGTAGACCCGGCAAAGCATGGATTAGGCAAAGGTGTTCGTGTTTGCATTGAACAGCGGTATATGGACCAGAATAGGATATTACTAGCTGCCACTGTTGGACTGTGCTTGCTGTGATCTATGTTCTGTATGAATTGCGATCTCTTGTGGTGATGGTTGTGGGTTGTGAAACCTGACCTTACACTGATGCAGTTACTCAGTACTGCTAGCAGTGCTGCTGCCTATGATGTCTCATTGGAGTAGCGGTCCAGCTTTGTGTAATTTGTGCGGCGATTGTTCCTTGTCATTGTGGGAATTTGGTTTTAGTTGTGTGTCGAATGGTGTAGTTCTGGCTTGATTTTCATGTCACCCTTTTGCTGCATTCCCTTTGACTGTGTTATTCTCTGCATGCCTTCTACTGTGCATGCTCTTGTTGAATTCCTCACAGAAAATGGATGTTGGCCCTTGCCGCAAAATGCACTCAGTTGCTCTCCGTGAGGAGTTTGAAAAGAACCCCAGGAAGCACGACTATGGGTTTGAAGAGGAGGTGAGTGCTAGTCGTCATGTACACACTATTCAACCTGCCCATCTCTCTCTCTCTCTCTCTCTCTCTCTCTCTCTCTCTCTCTCTCTCTCTCTCTCTCTCTCTCTCTCTCTCTCTCTCTCTCTCTCTCTCTCTCTTTGTATACGCACACTGAAACCTGATGTTAGCACCAGTTAAAAGCCCCCTATCTTCCTTTATCATCATATTTATTTGTATGTGTTCCTATTAGGCACGGCAGCAGCTGCAGGAGGTGATCAATGAATGCGACCGTAAGATTGTTTTGGCGAAGAAACGTCTTGATGAAACAACAGATGACCCCGAGCTCCAAGACAAGGTTCGTGAGATTCTACCGTAACCTCACCGTTGGTTTGGGCAGACTGAAATGATTTGTTGACCCAATCAGAACAATTTGTGCCAAGTACTAGCCTTACCCGTATCCATCCCTTTGTTTTGCTGAAGTAGAACCACCCATTGCTATGCAAATTGTTTTGCAAAGTAATTATTTTACCATTTCATGTGTATGCGTTGTACATGGTACAAGAGTACAAGAGTGGAGCAAGGCTAGTTTATTGCATTTCTTAGTTTCACGCTCAGTGCAACCATCAGTGCAACCATCAGTGGAAATCAGGCAACATAGGAATGATGTATGTGTTGCATCTTCTTCGTCTTATCAGAAACACTCTGACAATCAAGAATGACAAAAGTATCCTCTGGCAGGCTGCCCTAGACGGACCAATATTGCAAAAGCCAGCAAGACTGTGCACAAACGCTTGGTGCATGTTGGTACACGTGCCAGTTGTGAACACAGCTCCAGCCCGGGTATAAACTGCACCGTATGTGGTCTATGTCACCAGACGTAAATACATAAGTGGTCAACATTGCTTAAGACATTGTTCATGTTGTGTGGCGTGTGCTACTGCTGTGGTTGTGCTATTGTGTTCACTTCTGCTTGCTGTTTGTAGTCGGAAAAAATCATGGCCATCGCCGAGAAAATTGGCGCTACTCTCGCCAAGGCAGAAGAACTGGGTGAGTTTAACTCGGATACTGAGCCGATAAGCGATAGGAAATGTAAAATAGAAGAAAAACACATGGGAACGGGTTACGAAGCAACTATCCACGACTGCAACAAGATAAGAACCTTCCAAGTTGGAAGGCTGTTGGTTTGCACACTGGAGATGTGTTGGAGCATATTTGAAACTTTTCTAATTGTCGAATCGTTTGCTTGTACGAGTCACTACTTTTGAGTAATCAGTTTCATCGTTTCACCCCTAGTCATGTTGTTAGACCTATGCTGGGAGTGCTGGTGGTCTTAGATCGCCCTTCCACCCGCCTAGGCAAGGTTAATTCCCATGTGTTTCATGCTCTAAAAAGCACTTGTAGTTGTGGAGCTTTTTTCAGCATCCCCATCTCCTTATTTCTATCTCATATGCTGACAATGTTGGCAAGTGTGGATTTAGAGTATTGCTGTCTGTGCGTATATCTGGTCTCCTATGTACATCTGTGTAGGTTCCCAGGGCAAAGTGGATGAGTCCATGAAGATGATGGCAGAACTGGAGGAACTGAAGCAGTTCAAAAGGCAGGCAGAAGTAAGTTATTTTTCTTTATTCCTCACATACTGCAATGACACAAAGCCTCTTGAACACTGGCTCCATACCAAGAGCAGGAGTAAATAAGCTGCCAAGAATGTGAAACTCTGTGTATTGGGTCTCCGACGACGAAAACTCAAGTCGCGTGTTCCAAGTACGTTTCGTACTACATACGACGAAGGCCAGCATGCGCGAGAATATCTGCCATGATTATGCTGCGAATGGGATTTTCGGCATTTGACCCCTTTGGTGGTGGGTCTGATCTACTCACCTTCCACTGCTTTAGGAGCTGCACCTGCGCCTTGATCTTTGACGGGTGGTGGCGTCCCAGCGGATGTGGAACATTCGGTCTCCAGCCGAGTCTCGCGCGAACCGCGAATCTTTTTTTCCGCCTAAGCTGAGTGGGTTTCTGTCAGGGAGTGCTATTGTGTTCTATACCACGGGATACGTTGGACCAGCTCTGCAAGCCAGCGAGACGGTTCATCGTTGGGCCTTTGCTCTCAATCGATCTTCACCCGTATCTAGTGACTCGCGGGATATTCTGATTTTGGATCATTATATCCGTGCCAACAGATGATGTGATCAGAGAAAACCCCGGCCTGTGAGTCGCATCTTGAGCACAAATTTACCATGGCCAAAGTTATTAGCGTCGGAACTCAAGAACTGCTTATCCTATCTCCCTCTTCGATTTTTCGAGACAAACAGTACTCTTTGACCTTCATATTTCGATCTCTTCTAAAGACCTGAGTTGACGGAATGGCGATGGTTGAAATGAACCCTGTCCCGGGCAACTCCAAGTGCTCTGATATCCTGCCATTGTTGTCTCTGCTTGACAGGATGAGTTCCGCGATGCCATGCCCATTGCATCTACTCAACAGCAGAAGTTGCGTGTCTGTGAAGTGTGTGCAGCCTATCTCAGTCTGTACGACAATGATCGGAGGTAAGTGTAAGAAGTATTTCTTCTGCTCTGCTATGTGAAAGGTCAATTTCTGCGCTGCGCCTGCTGGTCACTTAATCATAGATGGCATGTGTACGCCTGAAACCATGCATTTTGTGTAAATGTTATGTGCATGCTCAGCTGGGTAGCTTGAGTTGAGTAAATATTCTCATTTGGGCATATTGCTGGCCTATAATACTGTACAGGTAGAAAATTTATTTGGTGAGTAATTTTGTCCAACTCTAAAGAAAGGAAGTTTGTCTGGTTAAAAATTTAGTCCATTGACCATAAATCGTATTGAAAAGGTGGACAAATCTATGTTAGTCCGGCATGTAATTTAGTCCGTAAACTCCTTGGACGGAAAAGGCGAATATTCCAGACGAATATTTCTTCTTATACAATATGCCATTCTTGGCAGATATAGTTGAATTGTCCGTATGGTTGTGTGGCTTTGCAGCCAATGTGGTGTGATACGTTGCAGGTACAACGGGGTCAGTTTGACCAACCGATCCTATAAATCTATTTCTGGTCGTTGTTGCCAACTACTTGAATTACTTTTCCTTGTGCTTGCAGATTGGCAGATCACTTTGGTGGCCGTCTACATATGGGTTTTGTGCAAGTGAGAAACAAACTCACATACTTGGATGTAAGTTCTGCGTACATCAGTACATCATGCATGTGCACCTGTGTTTTTTTGTGATATGCTAGGTTTTCAGTGTTGATACCGGCACAGGTGTATTGTACTGGTGTGTGGGGGTGGGTGGGTGTGGGCACACATCGTTGTCAAATGCTTGCCAAGTTGTAGCAGTGAAAATGAGAAGTAGGATGAGAATTGACCTACCAAGCATTGTTTCCTATGTGGCTGATAGGTTGACTTTTGGTTTGTGACATGCTATTTTTTCAATGATGGTGGCATACCTCGTGGTGCAGCAAAGTGACTCTGGCTGCCTGCCTGTAATACACGCTATGGGTTTATTTTTATTTTTTCAGCAAGCTATTGCTGACCGGGGCAAACGCAGACAAGAACGCCTAGAAGAACGTGAGAAGGAGCGGGTACGTGAGCGTGAACGAGAGACACACACAAGACGGTGAGTTAGAAGTCTGGTGTATACTTCAAGTAGTTTCCATAGTTTAGATTTGTATAGGGTTTCTTGATATTACGTGCCACAAGAGGGAGAAGAAATATGCATTGCACTGCCCTCCCCCCTAGTTTTTTTCTGCTCCTCTCATAGTATACAGTGCATGATTAGACTAACCTTCACCACTATGGAAGATACGCTGTGGACACATAGGCACTGAATAGTGGTAGAGGTGACGGTTTCAAATAGGACATAGGTTGCAAACCGGAACGGACTCAATATTCACTTTCTCTCTTGGTATTTTGATTAGAAAACATATGTCACAGTGAGACTACAATGTGTTATACTCCGAGCCAAAATGTCATGGCTTTGCGATGACCAGAAGCGCCATACCAAGCAGGTGAATTTTTGACGTGTTGCTTCGCACTGCGACTTGAGTTTTACGACTTTCGAAAAATCAACTTCTTGTCGCAGGTAAACAGCGGCTCGCCTCTCGCCAATAAAGCACCGCATACCAATCAAAACTAATGGAAGCACACACAAGGCTTATTGTTACTCTGTACTGGCCGTCGTGGAGCGATAGCAATTACCTAATTTCAGACCCAGAGCGAATTTGACGTGCACTCTAAAACCTGTCCGGTTTGGAGCCACCTCTGATTTGAAGCGAAAAATTGGGCAACTTGGAGGCAATGGGTCAACACAAAGGAGTGGCTCAGTTCGATTGACTCTGGCCTCAGAGCAAACTTCAACATGCCAGTTCCTTCCACAATCATATTTCGAGTGAACAATTAACGCTGATGATCGGTTTGGGTCTATACAAATTTGGCTGTCAAGCCGTTCCGGTATCGAACCATTGCCTCTACCAGAGAGGTTTCTGCTAAACGAAAATTCGAACGAAGTTTCGCGACAGGCCTTGCGAAAATTTGTACGAATTTCGCACGAACTTTGTGTTCTGCACATTTTCGTAGTTTGCACACGCCAAATGCCCGTACGCCATGACCCGATCTCCCGAAAGTTCACTTCGCGTTCCCTGCAAGTTTCCCGTCCAAAGGTGCGAAAGATCGTGCGAAGTTTCTCACTTCATGTTGTAGAGCTAAAGTTAGTACGCATTTTCGTTTTGGAGAACCTCTCTGCTAGTATACTGTGAACCTTTCTGCCAGTTTTGTGGGTCCTGGTGAGTAGAGGCAGGCAATTGCCAGGGTGTACTCCATGCGTGGAGTCACGCGGATTTGCATAGTGCTGGTGTGTGTGTGCAGGGAACACGATAACGGTCGGACATCGGACGTTTTCCGACCATTTTCGATTCAAATCCGGCGCTTTTTTACTTGAACGGACAAACTGTCCGATCGAAATAATAATACTAAATTGAGTAGCGTCGCTGGGAAAGAGAACGACTGAGGACAGTGGCGCTCTGCCTGGGAAGAAGTCTCAAGAAGTCAGAACAGTAACCTGTGACAAGAGTGTTTTACAGCACGGCAGGGAGCTGTCCACTTCAGTGTAGCTCCAGTTTGAGCGTAGCAAACGATCGGGAAGGAGTTTTGAAATTATTTTTTCTCGCTTCTAGTGAAGCACAGGCGCTGTGCAAGATCGATGAAGCAACAGCAGCGAAAGTTAGTCATAATTCAACGTCGCATAGAATCTACCTGCTGATCAAAGAGCACATCACGTTTGCAAAGATGGGAGCCTTCAGCCATCTCGAGTGCTTGTAGTGACATGGTGTCGATTTTGGAGCTGGCAACAAGAATGGGCAAGCAGATACCCACTTCGCCCTCTGCCGACTTCATAAAAATTGCGTTGTCATACACGACAACACACTGCGGTGCTACAAGTCACATCACACGGGGGGGGTATGTACTCTTGGTAGCATGTACGTGTGCAGTGTTGTCGTGTATGAAAGTGGTGAAAAAATCAGAGTCCCAGACTTGCACCTGTATCACAAAATCTGCCGAATCACAGTGTCCGGCCATGTTCGACCTTCCAGAAGTGGCAGGACATTGTGTCAGAGCACTTTCAAAATCTTATCGTGTTCCCTGGTGTGCGTGCGTGCGTGTGTGTCCCTGCCTTGATACCTGAGCTTTCTACTTATATCTGCTGTAGTTCAACTGGCAGGTCTTTCTATGTCTGTACTATCTATAGTGGTATTTTCCGCATCCTTATGATTATGTGTGTTCGTGTATGTGTATTTGTGTGTACGTGTGTTTGTGTGTTCACGTGTGTTTGGTGTTGGTATCACCTTGGACAGGCGCTCTCGATCCCGTGACAGGGATAGGCGCCGTCGCTCAAGATCTCGTGACAAGGAACGTCGCCGTTCACGATCAAGAGAACGCACCGCCCGTCGCAGATCTCGTTCCCGCTCTCACGGCCGCAGTTCTCGTCGTTCTCGCTCTCGCTCAAGAGACAGAAGTCACCGGCACCGGTCCCAGCGTTCCAGGTCCAGGTCTAGGGACAGACGACGCTCCAGGAGATCGAGATCGCGTGAAAGACGCCGTGATCGTTCTAGGTCAACTGAGCGACGACGTGAACGGTCAAGATCGCTTGAACGATCTCACTCTCGACGCTCAAGGTCGATCGAGAAGCCCAGTGGAAGTGATATGCCCTCAGCCGATATTTCTGGTAGTCACGAAGAGATCACTGGGGAACCAGTCCCACTGCCACCTACAGAGTGAGTGAGAACATGGCCTCCACTTCTCTGTGTTTGTGTGTCTGTGTGTGGGTGTGTGTCTGTGGCTGTGGGTGTGTACATAGCAGAGTCAGCGGGGGTCTGTCTCTGACATTGAGCACTCTCTGCAGCTCGGGGATCAACAGATTTGTATATACGTGTATGACGTATATTTCGGGTGTGTGTGTATGTGTGCGTGTTTTTGTCGACTTGCAGAACCTAAGAGAACACACAGTACCCCTCAACTCTGCTTGATCCATTGCTCCTATTATTCGTGCGTGTGTGTTTGTGTGCTCATGTGTGTGTGCGTGGTCTATGATTTTTGCTGATTACTGGTATGTGGTGTCATTCTACTACCTATGTGTTGCCCATGGCATAATTATGGCATAATCTACCCGTTGTCGAAAGATGCTCATGGAATCCGTTATGGCGCTTGTAACTCATAAAATGGCAGTTTTAGCATGGAAATCTTGACAAGCAGCATGCTCACTGGTGGTATATCTGCAAGCTTCTGCAAGAACCTTTTTGTGCCACTCTCTTTAGTCTTTAGGACTTTTCTTTTTGTGTATCTTTTTTTGTTCCTAAAAAAAAGATTCACATGACATCCTAGCTGTGTATGTAGTACTTGCTCCACCACTCGCTGGCATTGTGTACAAATAATACCAGGTAATTGCTGCTGATGTATCGTGTATGGTTGGCTATTTGCTTGCATTGCTGAAATATGTGTGTCAGTGTCACCAAGGGATATGTAGTAAGTGTGGTGTGACACACGTATTCGTACTGTGGACTGCTTTTTCGTTTTGATGTTAGGCCACACGTTTTTATTTCTATGTTTCTCGTCACCCGCGCGCATACGATTCAGGAGTCTGGAAGAAAAAAAGAAGAAAAAAACTAGGGGTGAAACAATTATACCGAGTACTCGAGTACTCGCTCGGTTTTTTCAAAAATATTCGTACTCGGAATAAATCAGAGTACTCGTTCATGCATTTACTACAGAAATCTGCAGTTTCAGAGCAGCAGTCGGCAGATGGTGATGTGCAGACTATGTGGTGAACATTTTTTCACGAATAGAGAGAGCCCAAATGACCCACCAACCAATATACCCGAGAAAAATGACTGCTACTAGGTTCAATCAGGGTTGTATCATGTTATTTTAAAGCCCTTGGTGTGCAATTGTTAGGAGATGAAAAATACTCGAATACTCGAATATTCGATCGAAGAAAATCAGAGTACTCGAACTCGGGATCTCAGTGCCAACTTTCACCCCTAAAAAAACTGTGCTGCACTGACTGTGCATGTGGCCATGGGGACCAGCATACTCATGCACATGTACATAATTGTACATAATGTGGCCTGCGCGACACATGATGCGAGGTCGCCATTTTTTGTGCGCAATCTAACTGCACATGCACAGATTGTGACAGAAGCCCCTACCACATACTAACAGTTATTACGAAGAGTATAATTATAACCCCTCAAGAGTGTGCAACTCTGCATATGGGGTCTTCGACTGCGAACACTCACATCACGTGTTTCGTACTACGTACAAGCGAAGGGTAGAGTGCGCGCAATCCGAATATCTGCCAGGAATCCCCAGGATCATGCTGGGGATTTGCATACGCGCAGTGAGTTTCTGTCAGAGAGTGCTTTTTTATTACTCCGCTGCTCGCTAAAAAAGGGTTGGAAACGTACAACTGCGACACTACACCACGTGATGTGAGTTTTCGCCGTCGGCGAACCCCATAGAAAGGGTATCATGAGTTGCACGCTCTTGGGGGGTTAAATACTCTTGCTATTACTAGTTGCTAACTATGGATGCTATTTTGCATGGTGTATTGGTCGATTTTAGTGTGAACAAAGGTCTAATAAACTTATTTTTTTATTTTTCGGTCATTTTTTTATTTTTTCCAACTCTTGCATATGTTTTAGATTTTTAGGTGACGAGAACCATAGAAAATAAAAACGTGTGGCCTTAACTTGTGCCAGTGGTTGTGACACATCCCCTCGCCCCACCCGGTACCTGAATCTGCCGCTCGCGCTGGACTTACCGTAAAGTCCGCTGCAAACGCCCACCCCATTTTTGCAAGATCTGCTGGCCTATACGCACTGATCTCATGCACTTTCACTCCTGCATGCTGTACGGAAGTGCATCTCACACCGTAGCGCGAGGAGTGCTTTGCTACGGTAAACGATGTCCATTTTCCAGGTTTCAAAATGTTTTGGGCACTACATGTTACATTGTAGTTACGAGCTAGCTCCTAGTGATTGTATGATGTTGGTTGTTTTACTTCGCAAATCCAAACGGGAGTTACTTCAAAATAACAAGGTAGCGAAGAACAGGCTATTGCAGGACCCTTAGTACACTTCTGACGGTGTTTCAAGCCATCATATTAGGGAGGTTCTGCTCTACGTTATGGGAACTCGACGCAAAGAATCACGCGAATTCTCTTCACGTTCCCGTAACGTAAAGAAATCCTGTTCTGCTCTACGTTCACGTAGAGAAGTCACGTGGAATGTGTACTGGGAAGTTCCCCTTCCATATTTGGCAGTTTTCTGCCTGCAGTCGAATCATACCCAGCAGATCCGTACACACTTTCTTTGCGTGTGCCACAACGTGGAGAACCTCATCTACGTGTAGAAATCTGGACCCAAAACACGCGAAGCCGTAGACTCTAACCCAGACACCTGCTCTGTATACGTGATTTCTCTACGTTTCACGTATAGCAGAACCGCCCTATTTCCAAATCACGCAAAACGCAATGGCAAGGGTTTTTCTCGAGCACTTCATTCAGAGTTTTGAACAAGTTAGCAGCGACCGGCTCTGTATTTGCAGCTTCTGTGACATCCCCCCTGTTCGACTTGCAACTGCAATACTGCGACGTTGAATGACGCTTCGTCAGAACAATCACCGTTCCATTCTGAAAGCGCGACATCGTGGCACTGCAGAAATTTCATGATTTGAAAACCAGATGGATTCTACGGCATTACTTCATGGAGAACGAACTAATAACAAAGCCGACTCATTCATCGCATGCAAGGAAGTCTCCACCGAATTTTTTTCTTTGCAGCAAGATAATGACAATCGCTTTTGCAGAGCCTCTTGGTAAGACATAGGCAGTTTGTAGGCATTTTAGTCGTTCTCGTACGCATCATCGCGAGTCGACCTTCATGCCAGTTTCCACAACTGTATTGACCTGAAAAAGACGAAAATAGTATGGACCCGCTGGGGTGGGCGTTTGCAGCGAACTTTACGGTACATGTACCCAGCCGTCATGAGTTCCCTCGCGAACGGACACGATTATTTACTTTTATTTTTTTACTTGAAGTACATGATTGTGAAGAAGAGGTTAGTGTGACTTCGGCGATACTTAGGGAAATGTGTGTTGCTCCCTACGTGGGAGCTTGCGCTATTCCTGCCGACTTGAATTCTCACTTGACTGACTCACAATTGCCATCCGGAGCACACGAGACGTCCATCGAACCTTCCACTAGGCAAACCTGCAAGAAAGCACCACTCCCTGCTCAATACACAGTGTTTCGGGGAATTCACCCCTCATCAGTTGAGCTTGAGTAGGCTGAGGAAGATTGTGCCTGAAGAGCACTACTTATAAATTAATAATAAAAAGTTATAATATAGTGCTCTCCAGGCACAAACATCACCAGGGATACAAACTTACAGAATCGCTCCGTTTCCAGCGCGACAAACACCTCGTGATCACCAGATACTCAACGTTTGTTCAGTATCTCCAGACACTAACTCGTGCTGCTCATGTTTCAGGGCCGGAGGAAGTAGTTTGGGAGTGGTCCAGCCAACCTTTGAGGGGGGTCCGGGGGATGTCCCACGGGAGAAATATTGAAAATTTACGTGAAATAGGGCGAATTTGCATCTCGTGAGGCTCCAGAAAATGCAGAGAATTATAGTAAAAGAACACAAAAACTACTTTTTTTTCCATAATATTAAAGCCATACAGTGCCGGTGATGGTAGCATCCAAGAGATTGAAAACTGTCTGTGAGGAATAGGTAAAAAAGCGATCTATAAAGATTTTAGTAACTATGATCTCGTGTCGACTTCTCCATGTATGCGATACGATCGACTCCCTCCATCGAAAGAGGAGTCTCTTTCGATCGAGACTCTTCTGTCTTGTACGATGTTTTCGCTCGCTTCCAATGTTGCCTAGTGCGAGCATTTCGTTAGGAGTGACTGGTGGTACTTCTTTGGTGGAAGGTGAGCTCATGAGGTCGTGCTGCAGTCTGCTTGTCACGTAGTCCTGAGCTACTTCGAAGCACATCACACGTCGGCAGTACAGTCGAGTCATGTACCTCTGGATTTTTTACACCGGTTTTGCACGAATTACATGGACCATCCAGCTGGGAAAGTGGTCCGGCCATGGCCGGACCAGCCTGACCGGTTCCGCCGGCCCTGTGTTTCTAATGCGATGCACATACAGAACATACACGGTATGGACACTTGCATGTAGCTACACACAACACACTCACATACACACGCATACATCACAACACACACACGTGCTTACATCACAACACACATACACACACACACACACACACACACACACACACCAGACAACACACAAAGGTCTCAGAAAACAAAACAAAAGAGAGACTTCATTGTGTAGCATACAGGATGTGGTAGAGCAAACATGGTGGATTTCTACATTTTCATGACCTTGAAGCGAGCCACCAGGATTGGCGATTACACAACGAACTCTATTCTGATGTATCATAGTACTGTCCCCACAGAATAACGCGGACAAAATCCTAAACTAAGGCTAAAGTTGTGCGCATAATCATGCGGGCGAAAACAGGCCATTATCCGGCAAATATGCGGCATAATAGAGAGGTTCCGCACTACGTAAAGTTGAGCAACTTTACGTTAGTGGGCGGGAAAAACCCGTGAATTCGCGAGTTTGCACTCCACTTACGGAAAGTTGTCTACGGAGAGTACGTAGATAGGGCTCTGATAACGTAGCTCGTGTTCGCGTGGAGGTTTCCCTACACTTCGGCATAACGAGGTTCGTGACATTACGGCGACTGTCCTCAATTGGGTCTCATATCAGGTCGCCACGGAGCCCCACCTGCAACCCCTCAGCGGCGAATAGCTTCGCTACCGCACAGCAATCCAAGATGACCAGGCTCGGCTGGATGTTGTGGCGAGCGGCATTTGGGGAGGACGATTCGAGCGCTCTTATCTCGATGTCAGGGTGTTCAACCCCTTCGCGCCGTCGAATCGTTCCTCCTCACTTGCTGCTTGCTACACCAAGCATGAGAAAGCCAAGAAGCATGCATGTGAGCAGCGTATCAGGGAGGTCGAACACTCCACATTTGTCCCTGTCGTTCACTCAAAGACCGGTGGTATGGGAAAATGTGCCAATGCCCTGTACAAGCGCATCGCCTCGCTGCTGTCAGAAAAGTCGGGTGAGCGCTATTCTGCAATCATCGCTATGCTCCGCTGCCGCCTGTGTTTTGCTATGCTGCGGGCCAGCCATATGTGTCTGCGTGGTGCTAGGCGTGTATTCTCGTACATCCCCACTTCTTCCGCTGAGGTTACTGTTGCCGAGGCTGCTATTCTATCCCATTAGTTTTCCTTCTCTCTTTGATCTCTATGGTCCTTTCACCATCTTTTACTATCTGCCACGACATACCGTTGCATTTTTTAGCAGGCGTGGGCCATCCCCTGATTTCATAGGTGCCAAACATTTTACGTTTTTCATTCACTGTAATAAAAGCTGCTGCTCTTTCGCGCCTTCTAAAAAAATAACGTAGCTGGTCCGTCAGTGGATTGGGGTACACATGTATGGCTCTCTCACC